AACCCTAACCCTAACCCTAACCCTAACCCTAACCCTAACCCTAACCCTAACCCTAACCCTAACCCTAACCCTAACCCTAACCCTAACCCTAACCCTAACCCTAACCCTAACCCTAACCCTAACCCTAACCCTAACCCTAACCCTAGATCCCGATCGACAGTGCATGGAAGGCAGCCATTCATGTGGTAAAGTACCTGAACCAAACGAACGAATATCAGTTGCACTTAGGAGGGGAGACAAACGAGCACTCGGATACACTGGTAATGACGTATACCGACGCAAACTGGGCATCCGACCCCACAAATGGACGAAGGAGCACCTCGGGGTCGATAACATATGTGTATGGATGTCCAGTGAGTTGGAATTCTCACGTTCAAAAGTGTGTGGCATTGTCAGCAGTCGAAGCAGAGTTTGTCGCTGCTTCCGAAGCGGTGTGAGAAACATTGTTCTTCTCATATTTGCTCCGGGACTTGGAGATCACGGACGTTCAGCCCGTGCTATACACAGATAGCCAGGGGTGCATACAGGTGAGTAAAGATCCAGCCAAACATTGGAAGTTAAAGCACATCGACACACAGTATCATTTCATCCGCGATCACGTGCAAGAGGGCGATGTGGCAATCAAATATGTCGGAACAGCAAACAACATTGCAGATGTCTTGACAAAACCTTTACAGGGTCTCAACACCTCACGATTGGCTAGGATGATAGGGCTGGAGATCCCGCCGAAGGGGGGAGTTGAAGATGCGTCAGCATCTCAAGCAAGATGCACGTGTCATGGCCGAGACACCGAGGTGCAGGAGGCTTACTTAAGCGAGAAGCACGAATGAGATACACGATCGTTGCCATGGCGACAGCTTAGTGGCACCCAGTATCATAGCAACACAGGAGTATGGATGAAGTAACACGTCCTGTCTCGGATAGGACTATAGCGGTGAATAGAGTATATATATATATATGCATTTGTCATTTAGGTCCACACTATATAAAAATCGTAGCATTATATAGAACATACGGCTGTGGTAAAGGGAGTCTGATCGTGACCCCGATAACGCCGTATACTAATTGTTATCTTCAATTAAAATTGATACCCCCTATTAGGGATTTAAGCACATCCAACCGAATCCTCCTCCACCCTGACTGCGAAATACGGGCAAGTTCTTCCTGGACCCTGAAGTCGTCTTCTGATGCTTGCTTCTCACTTCCATTGCCGTCGTTGTTAACGGGCGTGACTGACAACAACACTTGACGTTATGCCCTCGGTATGATACCGAATCTGCCTTTGCCGCCGTTAGAAGCGGCCGCCGTCTCTGCATCGAACAATGCTACTGTCGAAGTTTCGCTGACAGCGAGCAAAGCTACAACAACACCCGACTCCTCGTACACCGCTGCGGCCATGGGACCACGTCCGGGTTTCCAGGATGCCACTGTGCTGCTAGCCTCTGCATGCTCCGAGCTGCAACCTGGTCAGATGGTGGCTGTTCCTGAATTCACGCTGATGGACTCGATGGCCGCAGTCAAGATTATGGATGCTAGAATGGATTCGGGCATGGAACTGCCTGCTTCGGAGCTGCCAGAGTCGGACCGCCTGGACAACAGCTCGCCAACAACATCGACGGCCGACTTTGATCCTTTTCAGCCTCTCGATGTCGCCGACGTTCTCTGGATCATGGATCGTCTCCTTGCTTGCGAAGCAGCGTGGCACCAAGGATCGGGCCTTTCACAGACGCTCTACACATGCCTCTATTTTCACAACATCAAACTTCTTTCGCACAAGCACCCACGCTTTCAAACGTCATCGCAATCGACGAAGGAAACCGAAACATCTGCAAGTAACACGCAAGTGACAGGCTCTTCGGCCGCAAAGCAGCAACCACCGTTAGAGCTGGTCTACAAGGTATTGAGAGCCTTTCTCCTCGCTACGGTCAAGACCATCGACATTGCCTGGTCCGAGCTCACGTCCAAGCAGCACCTACAGGACGGCGAAGACTACTCTGCTGAAAAGAATGGCTTGAGCCTGCTCGAGACGACAGATACTGGATACATCATTGTCGAAGTCGAGGATGCTTTGGAGTGGCTTCAGTCACAAACGACCGCGCTGGCTAATGAGCAGATCGAGTCGCTCAGGGTTAGGCTCAACTTTCGCAAGCAGATGCTCTACGCCGTCCGTCTCTTGCAGACGCCAGCCGAGGCTGCACCTATCGACGTGGTCATGCACACCAAGTTCGCAAGGCGCCATTGGGCTCTCCTTTGTCCAATCTCTAACGCTGAGGTCGCAAACGAGACACAATCAGAATCGCAAGAACCGACGAGGCACTCGAATAGTGATGCGACAACCGGCCTGGTCTTGCACCTTCCCAATCGCAATGCTGCACCATCCGCAGCGTCATTGTCAGCCTTTGACCCTGCTTACAACCGGCGACTGGCCTGGTGCCAAGCGCTTCGGCCGATCTCGCTTCCAAGTCCTGATGAAACCTGGACGGTCATGGATGGCATTCTTGAAGAGCTTCAAGATGTCATTCGTGTTCTGCAGCATCCCAGCTTTCTCTCATGGAAGACGTTCTTCACGCATCGCGCTATCAAGTATCAAGCTTCGCAGCCTTTGTTTGCGACTCCATACATCCGATCGTTATTCCAGACTGCCGTCTGCGATCGCAATATGATCGCAAGCCGACTGTCATTGGAATGGATGGCCGAGACCTTTTTTCAAGAAGTTGCTCTGATAGATCCTCTTCTCCTACGTCGCGCCTCAAGGATTGGGCGCAACAACGTCGAAGGTATTTCGCACACGCTTTGGAACGCCTCGCCTCCTCTGGGACAACGCGTTCACTACTTCATGCAAAGAGTCGCCGGACAACTCGTTCAGTATCTTTGCACACTTTCGCAGAATCGGGCACGCTGCAAACGTACGATGGCTTCGAGGGTGTACCGCGAATGGGTCAGCATCTCGGAAGAAGCAAGTGCGATCGGACGCGAACTCGAAGCTTGTCTCGCACCGGGCGAACGGTACATGCCCGACTCGCTCTTTGCAGCAGCGCAATACTTGGCGCTCGAAGTCATGTCGCAGATCACCTTTTCCGGCTTCGAGCTCGATCTCTACAGTCGTGGCACCGATCGCGAGTCGATGTGGTGGCTCGCAAGCCGCATCCAAGTGGAGCAAAAGATTGTCTGCGGCGACCTCCGAGATGAGTTGTCCAAGTGGCTCGAACATTGCTCACCGGATTCACGACCTCGCAAGTATGCAGCGACGATCCTGTATTTGTCACGCCAAAACCTCTTGGCACGAGCATTAGAACAGCTTGCGATCAGTACCATCTTCCTGATGCATCTGTCTGAGAGACTTGAGAAGGGAACCGCAGAACGCACAAAGCCTCGCTCGTGGCCGCTAAGCCCAGAGGACGACTCTGCTGGGTTGGAGCTGGCAAAGACTGTCTTTGCCAGCAGGACCAAATGGGCACGGTCGACAGCTGCAAGACGCTATGATGCGGATGGCAGGATGGAGGAGCATGAAGCGGACGACGTGCTTTGGCAAGAGTACGCAGCATTCCGAGGCGAACTGGACGTCACAGACGCCTCAAGTCTATCGAAGATTACAATCGACAGGCTGGACGAAGCCATCATGCACCTGGAAAACCTTGCCAGCACGTTCGCTGCTGCTGAGAAGAAACATGAGCTAGGAGCGCAGGGTATGAGTGACTTGGCTACATCGCTCTTGGCAACTGCGCGTCACAACCGGATCACTTTGGAGACAGTATCTCAGAGCAATGGCGCATGTACGCCTTCGAAGGATGACTCGGAGTCGAGCTTGTCCCAAGAAACACAGCAATCACGACACGAATGGGTGTTCGAGCATCCTTGGCTTCCAAAATGGATTGTCATTCGGTGACGGCGACCGTCCTTGACGATCGGATTACTAAAGTTCCAGCCAGAGGTTGCATCCTTCAACTACTCTTCACACACATATACCACCCCTTGCATCTGTCGAATCTAGTACCACCCACTGCATCTCGCAATACCATAGACATGTACCGGATCACGACTGCCTTGCACGACGAAATTGAAGACCGCATGCTAGATTCCTTTTCATGTCCGAGTTCCGAAGAGTCTCCACATTTTTTGAAATTTCCGAGAAGCTTTTTTATCCTGCTGCAGCATGAAGATTTTCCAAGCTGAGTTGTTTGACAGCAGTTTGTACCTTCCAGCCTTCTCCGTATCACCTCCACCACACAAAGGAACATCCGCACGCTCCCAGTGATCATACCAGCATTGCTGGCTTCTCTTGGCGGTCTCATCGATTGCAGTATGCTGTGTTCAGTAAGTGGTGCTTCCAAGCATCTCGCAAGGGAGTTGCATCGTCCGCTACATCCTTGCACAGCGCCGTTTGGCACCTCTTCGAGTGCTCACAATCATCTCCGATACCACACAGCGTCTCGCACACTACTGCCCTTTCACAACACAACCTATTCTCCTACAAGGTTACGGCACCCACAGCAACCCAATATTGCACGTCCTCCATGCGACAGCTTCCACTCACGTCTGTCACGTTATTCAACGTTTTCGAACCCGGTTTTAACAACGGAAGCTCACAAGCTTGAAGCCGTCGCCGAAGCCGTAAAAGACAAGTCGACCGCCTCTTTGAATGCAGAGGGTGTTCAAGAAAAGTTTCAAAGGTTAGGCTTGAATGCCAACATCAGCCGACAGATTACCTTGACGAATCCCAACATCCGACAACCTACACCTGCGCAATCAGCGTTAATACCAGCCATTCTCTCGCCCAGCGATGTGGTTTTGCGCGCACACACTGGCACTGGCAAGTCTTTCGGCATCTTGCTAGCGCTTCTCAGCAAACCACGCATCGTATTTAGCGATCCAACCTCTCGAGATTCCGAGAACTCGTCAGCTACCCAGAACAAGCGTGGCAAACCTCACACTGGAATCGCATCTATTATCCTCGTCCCCAGTAACGAACTCGCTTTTCAGTACTTCCGCTGGGCGAGGTCACTCTTCCCAGCCTCAACTTTGCCTTCGCTTGATCCGGTGATCCAATGTCTGGTCCGTGGCGGCCTTCCTGGCTCAGAGGTACTCACTCCTGAGCAAGAGCTCAAGCGATTAAAGCAGACTCCTCCGCATATTCTCATCGGCACCCCTGGCCGCATGAAGGACATCCTCGATACACCGGCTGGCTCTTCTCTTCTCGGTCTTGACACTCTGCGTACTTTGGTGCTAGATGAAGCGGATGCAGTGCTGCAACTACCCGGTCGATTCCCATCCTACAAGCAAAGGTGGATGCACGAGGTGCACAAAGCCCCCGGCCTCCTCATCTTGAACGAGGTCATGAAACGCCGGGCAACCTTCTCAGGTGGCGAGAAGCATCTGACAGCAGGACTTGAGAATCGACCGGGCAAGCGACGGGATGAGAAGCGGCCGCCCGAGCATATTCGCCGCAACACGTACAAGGCCGCCGAGCGAGCTACTGCCGCCAGCATTGATGCCAACACTGGGCTTGTGCTTCCCAAAGCACGAGCTCCCGGGGTTCAGCCTTTGCAGCTGGTGGCCACAAGTGCAACGGCCAACTCGGTGATGCGACACTTCTTTGGCGCCCGTACAGGCTGGCTGCGGACTGGAGTCAAGGACAGCGGGCTTACTTTTGCACCGCAAGTGGGACGCTGGATCGACCTGACAGGGCTAAGTGGGAAGAGCATGGTTGATCAAGGCATCCGAGGACTCTTCGGAGCCAACGAACGATCACAGACCGATTCGCTAATTCAAACATCATTGGATCAGACGCCTTCCACCATGCCAGCAACTATCGAGCACACGTGCGTGGTGGCGGATGAGGCACCACTGTCCAAACAACTCGCTGCAGTGCCACTACGCAACTTTGAACCCAAGCTGGCTAGGAAAAAGGGCGACAGCAGCATGCTTCGACCTACTGATTTTTCGGAAACTGCCATGGTCGGGGACGACTTCGTGGTCGTCAAATCCGAAACGGAACCGCAAGAGCACGAGGTTGACCAGACGTTGATCGAAGCGCTCGCTTTCTGCTTCGCCTCGGAAGGTGTCAATCGTGGCTTGGCGTTGATTCCAGCTCGATGGAGCCTGCTAAAGACACGAGCAGCGCTCGAGGCATTGGGCGTCACTGTCCGGCTTGCTTCCGACGACACTTCGGCAAGTGCAGAAGCAGATGCTAGCGACGCTTCTGCAGCCGAACCGGAACTGTTTTTGCTTCAGACCACATCTGCGCGTGGACTCGACATTCCTGCCCTCTCTCACGTCTTTCTCGTCGGGTATGCTTCGGTGCTTGACGCAGTGCAGTATGTGCACTCGGCAGGACGTGTGGCACGTGTTGGAGGGGATCCAGATGCAGACACGAAAGGCAAAGTGGTAACGCTGCTTCGAGGCCTTCCACACGATACACCACTCCCAGCAGCCCTGCAGAAAGATGCAAAGAAGCAAGGCACCCGTCAAGCTAAGAAGGCGATCTCAACGTCAGAGGCCAAGATGGCAAACGTTTTTAGGCGACTAGGTGTGGTTCCGAAGAAGTTTGATCTCAGTTTGCTCACCTCGAATGCTGCTGCCCCTGCAGCGAGCGAGTCGGACCAAAGCGAAATTGCCGATGATGCAGATCAAAGCCGCGCAGATACAGAGCAAGTCTTCGACGAAGACAAGCCCGCCCCTAAAGCTGTATGATCAACGTTGTTCCTGCATTCACGTTTACATAAGACAATTTTCAGTACTCTCAATCTCACTTGTATTCTAGACACGCCACACACGCAACTCTTCTACATCTCCGCAGGAACACGGACCTCGACACACGTTGCTACTGAGTAGAAATTGTTTTGCGACTGATAGAAGAACGAGTGACGATCGCGGATCTATTGCTGCTGAAGAAATGCTGAACGCGGCTAGGTGAGGAAGGACTCGCCGCACCCGCAAGCCTCCTTGACGTTGGGATTGTTAAAGACAAATTTTGCGCTAAGACGATCTTCCTGCCAGTCCATCTCACTGCCAATGATACTGAAAAGCGCCTTGCTGTCGATGAGCACTTCGACGCCGTCCTGCTTGACTCGTTCATCGAAACGACCTGCTTCCTCAGGCTTGACGTACTCGAGATGATACGACATGCCAGCGCAGCCCTTGTTGCGCACTCCGACGCGAATCAGTTTGGGACCGGACTCGGACTCCATCAATGCACGGAGACGCAATACAGCCGTAGGCGTGAGCTTGAGTGCAGCCGTGCGTGAACGGAACTTAGTGCCTCGGTCGGCCGCAGCCTTCTTTGGTGTGGCAGTCGATGAAGAGGTTGAGCTGGACGTCGGTGCTGATGCTAATGCTGATGCTTGGGGCATGGTAGCGGCTACTTTGGGGTCCTTGGCGAGCTCGGCTGCTTTGGAAGGCGTCAACTTAGAGGAAGGAGCTGGATCAGAAGCAGACGGAACAGGAGTTGCGGGTGATGGTGTTGGTGCTGCCTCTTGCGAAACAGCTACTCGTGGATCCTTTTGTGACTTTGGTGAGGCAGGCGAGGACGGCGAGAGTGTTGCACAAGCAGGATCTACACTGACCGTCTCTGTCTTTTCCGTACGCCGAGGTTGAGAGGTCGAGGTAGAAGGCGAAGATGCGAAAAGTGGCGTATTGGAAGACGACGAGGTGGAAGAATCGGTAGCGATCTGCAATTGAGCCTTGGATGAAGATGCTGGCGAAGAAGAGCTGACGGACGTAGACAGCCACCTTGAGCTGGTTGCTACGCGAGGAGAGGAGATTGCGCGGCGAAATGAGGAGGAAGCATGAAGCGACGCGCTGGAGGTGGTGAATGCTAAGCGACGAGCGGAAGGCGCTTTCGTCGAGAGAGATGCGCTACATCTTGCAGCTGCCGGGTAGAGGAAGGGGAGCATGGCTGCTCTTGATGCTGTGGCTAGTGAAGCCGAAGTGGCGGATTGTATCGACATGTTCGTCATTTGTTGCCGCGGCGATGCGGACTACAATGACAGCAACCAAAGTCTCGCAGCAAGGATGATATCAATGATGGTGGCGGGCGAAAGGGAAGAAAGGTGCCGCCGCGCGGAACAGTCAAGATAGTTAACTTGCAACCTGGCTGGTCTTGAGTTGCGCCTGTGTGTCCGAAATAACGCAGATCTTCGGTGGCTGCCGGGAGTTGAGCAAGAGCACTGCTGAGCTGACAGTCGACACTTGCCTATGTTTTCTGTGCCTCTAAATCCGAGCTGAAAATCCGTCAAAATCCTCGCTTTCCCCAAGCAGCAGCAGCAACAGAAAGGCGAAAAGACTTGTGGAGCTGAATCATTCAAATGACATTTGCACGCTCTGCGATTGGCTACGTTTGTTCGCAACATCGGACCCTCATCCAAGATCTTCCGTCCCTTGACGACCGCCAGCTAGGAGAAGAAACGTTATGCTGTTCCACGAAGCCATCTGATGGCTCGAGAGACACTTGACGGAAGCCATGCCTCAAAATGCAACTTGGGAGCGCTTAGAAAAGGCAGAGAAAGGGCTGGATGGACCCGATTTGGCAAGCAAATCGGCAGATCTACAGATCTGCGTAGTGGCGATTTTATTCGGGTATTTCATAGATGTTAGGCCATATAGATCCACAATTTTCTGCGGAAAACGAAGGTGATCGAAGCGCGCTTTCAAGGTGGCGCGTTCCCAGTGGAGCAACAGAGTTGAATTGTGCACCGCACTGAGCCTATTCACAGTGTTGAACGCTTACCTCACATTCCATCTTGTCGTAACTTTACCACCTTCTGTCACCGGCACCAATCCATCATTCGACATTGCAACCTCCTCAAACTTAGACCCCTGTACCCGTACCGATACATTGTCGTTAGTCGTAGCACCACCTCCTAGCCCACAGAGGCGGCCCATCTAGCTTCACCCTCGCTGCGATTCAACCGACCACCTCGCCAGAGCCGCATCATCTGTCACCATGTCCACAGCCGTCACAACACACGCCGCAGAGTCGGCCACTGGCCACTCGTCTTCCACCAACCTGGCGAACATTGGTGGCGCAGCAGCTTCTGCCAACGCCCTTGGCATTCAGTCCTTCTACCAGTCCAAAATCCGATCTTACGAGATTCTCATCAACCAAAAGACGCAGAATCTCCGCCGTCTCGAAGCGCAACGAAACGCTCTCAACGCACGTGTTCGTCTCTTGCGAGAAGAGCTCCAGCTGCTTCAGGAGCCTGGTTCGTATGTCGGTGAAGTCGTCAAGGTGATGGGCAAGAAGAAGGTTCTTGTCAAGGTTCAGCCCGAAGGCAAATACGTTGTCGACATTGCGTCCGACATCGATGTCTCGACACTCACACCGACTCTCCGTGTCGCCCTTCGATCCGACTCCTACACCCTCCACAAAGTGCTTCCTAACAAGATCGACCCCCTCGTCTCGCTCATGATGGTCGAAAAGGTGCCCGACTCCACCTATGAGATGGTCGGTGGTCTCGATCGTCAGATCAAGGAGATCAAGGAGGTCATCGAGCTTCCCGTCAAGCACCCAGAACTCTTCGAATCGCTCGGTATCGCACAGCCAAAGGGTGTCCTTCTCTACGGTCCTCCAGGTACCGGTAAGACTTTGCTTGCACGAGCCGTCGCCCACCACACCGACTGCCGCTTCATTCGTGTCTCAGGTTCCGAGCTTGTTCAAAAGTACATTGGTGAAGGTTCACGTATGGTTCGAGAGCTTTTCGTCATGGCTCGAGAACATGCTCCTTCCATCATCTTCATGGACGAGATCGACAGTATCGGTTCCTCTCGAGGCGAGAGCGGTTCCGGTGGTGGTGACTCGGAGGTGCAGCGGACCATGCTCGAGCTTCTCAACCAGCTCGACGGTTTCGAAGGCACAAAGAACATCAAGGTCATCATGGCCACGAATCGTATCGACATTCTCGACTCCGCCTTGCTTCGTCCCGGTCGTATCGACCGTAAGATCGAATTCCCACCTCCGGGCCCTGAGGCCCGTGTCTCGATCCTGCGCATTCACAGCCGAAAGATGTCGTTGCAACGAGGCATTAACCTCCGTGCGCTCGCAGAGAAGATGGGTCAATGTTCCGGAGCCGAGGTTCGAGGTATCTGCACTGAAGCCGGCATGTACGCATTGCGAGAACGTCGACAGCACGTTTCGCACGAAGACTTCGAACTCGCCATTGCAAAGGTTCTTCGTGCACAGGCTTCCTCCGAGACTTCCGTCAACAAGCTCTTCACCTAATCCTCAATCCTGTTCTTTGTCCTCCTTTCTCGCTCCACTTGCACACTTGTAATAATATCAGCTCACGGCAATGTCATTTGATCATGCATCAGTCTCGCTAGCTCGTCACTTGGCACGTGAATGTCAATCTGAGACTTGCATCTTTGATTCATTTATATGCGTTTCACTGAGCTACCGCCATCTCGTCAGAGAAGAGTTTCTCCCACCACGCAATCTCTTCTTGGACAACGCGGCGTCCGTTGTCATCCACGACGTTATTCACAAATGCCTTGGCACCCTGCAGATACAGCCATTCGACCAGCTGGATCGAGGCTGATGCTGGCGTGGCGCCCACTTGAATCGGCTTCTGTCGCAGCTGAACGATGTGTTGCACTAGATTGCGTAGCTCGGTCCGCATCTCGCTGACCGCCTTCGCATCAGCGTCGACCGCGGCGCCGTTGACGTTGACACGGTATAGCAGAGCACGAAGCAAGTGCAATGTGGCCTCGGACTCGAGCGAAAGGCTCTCCCAACCCCCGGGTGGTGGCACCACGCCTGACCTCGAAACTTGCGTAGGAGCTGAACGCAGAAGCCAGCCGAGACCAATCTCAGTAATGGCTTTGCGTGCGTATAGTCTCGCGTTCTCGATCAGCTTGGTGCGCGTGCCTATGGCGCCTGCGATGCCTGCAGACTCGAAAGAAGGATGAGAGCGTAGGATAGACAGGGTCGATAATGCCAGCAAGATGCGGCATCTAGCACGAGACGTGGGTGTTGATGTGTTGGCCTGCCCCAACACTGCTGCTGGGCCTCCTCCGGCTGCCGAGGTGTCGAGAGCAGCGAGTGCTTGAGAAAAGAGCTTGGTACTCAATGTTGCCAGTGCCCAGATAGCGGCGACTCCGGCCTCGGCAGGTTCCAAGCGAAGGGACAGCCGACACAGGTTCATCCCAGCTTCGCCAACATCGCACAGTGTCGCCACTCTGGCGTCGCGCCCGGCTGCATTTGTGGCAGGGGACGGAGTTGGAGAGATGAGTCGCGATCCCCATTCGTTGACGGCTTCCCACGCTGCTTCTAATTCACTGCTGATTTGTGTCTTGTTGACTCCCACATTCGCGGCTTTGACCAGACAGGCCACCCGCGATGTCAAAGAAGATCGTTGGATCTCTTCCCACCTTGCTGCCATCTCGGACGAGGCCTGTGTCGAATTGGTACTCGTCGCAAGAAGGCTTGCTGCCGGTGCTTCTGATTCTGCAAACACAACCTGCGCCCTACTGATGATCTGTTCTATCGCAGCACTGTATGTCTGCACTTCTTCAATCGCAGTGGCAGCTTCGATGAGGGAGGTGAAGCATGCAAGCATGGAAAGGAGCGTCTCCATCAACGAGGATGGCGTGACCAGCGAAGAGGTGTAACCGTAAACGTCTCCTGCCTCGCTCCCATACGCTGGCTCCTCATCGCCTACCTCTATACCTTCCGGCAGCTTGGAAGCTTGGGCATCCGGTTCTGTTGTCGCCTCGTCGGCGGTCTTCTGGTCCTGCAAGATGGCATTCTGACCATCTGCGACGTGCTGAAGGAGCTCCAGTGCTTGTTGCCAGAGAGCGGTCGGTGTATCTGCCTGAGCGGAGTTCTGCGTCGACGGAGGCTGTAGTCCCTGCGGCCAGCCGAGCTCTTCCACAGATTCAGCGAGTGTCTGAAGCGACAAGGCGAGTTGTGTCAAGGTATCCAGGGTGAATGGATTTGGCAGGAGGCCATCTGACGAGCTTGCGGCAGGCAGTGATGGAGCGAGTGTGACTGCTTGTTGCGATGTGTGAATTGCTTCAACCAGAAGCTGGATGTTCTCTGGCGGCAAGGCGAACTGGGTCGCAAGCAAGAAGTGAATCCTTGAGGCATTGTACAGGGCATCGGCTCGCTGCTGCACGTTTGCGCCGGTGAGATGGGCTGCCCGTGTGTATAGTGTGCCTGCCTGATCGTAGAAGCGCTGCGCCTTGGGACCGAATTGGAACCGCTCGCCCTTCTCTTCTAACTCTACGCCGTCTTGCATCGCCTCATCGTAGTCATCGTAGCTGTTCGGGTCCACGGGTCCGAAAGGGTTGGCGTTGCGTCCTCGGCTTGACGAGGCGGAGGCACTTGTACTCGAAGAAGAAGAAAGGCCCGTGAGCTTAGGCATACATTTAGGCGCCATCTTAACGTGTCTCCGTGGCTGAATCGGCTCGGTTGAAGTTGGTGCGATCGAGGTGATCAGCAGGAAGAAGTTCTGGTTTGGTTTGCTACGGCCAAACAGATGTGGAGGATTGGCAAAAAGAAAATTTCTATCACGATAAAAAGGACCAAAAGAAAAGGCCGTAAAAATGAAGCTGTCGGATCTGTCAAGTAAAGTGGGCCATCCATTCCGACGAATGACGTCGGAATAGTTGTCTCCGCAATCAAAGACCAGTACCCCAGCATCTCTGACAGACATGAAGCCAATTATGCTTCGAAGCATCACACCTCGTGGCATCGAGTAACTAAGGCTGTGAAGGAACACCGTCTGTGTCGGAAAATTCGATGGGACGTCATGATTTGACAACTGTACAGCCCCTTTCCTATGCATGCTTCGTGAGGTGCAAAGGTTGCGACCGATGTGCCAAGGAACTGACCCAGCAAGGCTCTCTTCCTTCTCAAGCCCGACTGAAACAGAAGCGGCCATCAACATCAAGCCATACAAGCAATCTCCAGGTAGATGGACACACAGTTTAAACCTCCTTACACATACTTCGTTGCTCCACTGTGGACCGAAAAAGACAAATTACACGTCGAGCGAGCTTCGAAGGACAAGGCTAGGCATCCAAGGATCCCCAGGACACAACGTCATCCCAATTGATTCCATCACTGTCCCAAAGATGGAACGAGGTTGTCGATGAGAATGTGTGATCTGTTGACGGCTGGGCTTCGGTAGGGACCGCTATCTGATCCTGGTGATCTTGAGCATGGTGCAGCTGCTGACTTGGCAGCCCATGCAGTTGCTGCAAAGGAGGCAGGTAGCGATCGGAGTTCAGGCTTGCTGGCTGGGCAGTTTGCCGTGCTGGTCGTAAGCGAGCTTGTCTTTGCGACGTGTTCGCTTTCGTGATCTGTATTGATGCCTGCGTCTCGGCCGATTCCGAAGAATGTCGTACCAAACGCGACTCCATACCTTGTCTTTTGAGCCGTGTATTGACTATGTCGGCTATGGGTTATTTGTTCATGCACCGAGCTGTCTGTTTACTATTTTCCCATGTGTCTGGCAGTGCCTTGTTTTTTTAGCCCGAGAGTTCTATCTTCGGAACTGTTACACATTGATGTTGTCGTCGGAACTGTGTGGTGCAGCCTTGCGATTGTCTATTGTTGTCGTCTACATGGCCGCAAACCATCAGCAAAAGCTTGTCTGGCAACCAAACTGACTGTCGAACTTGGTTTGCTGGTGTTGGCATCTCCCGATGTCTTCAGAGTCACATGATCGCTTGAATGCGGGCGCAAAGAGCGATTGCTCCTCTAGTGTGGGAGAGGTGCAGAACCTGGTGCTACTGCTTCAGTATGTCGCAGACAGCTTTTATACCAGCCGCTGCTAAAGCTGCAGTCTTGTGTCCAGCTTCGTCTCCAGCCTCTGCTTGAACAGGCGTAGCCTCGACGGCTGAGCGCAGGCTTAAGCTGTTCGTCTTCAGCTCGAGTGGGCGGGCGAGCAGACATTCACATGCACGATTCTTCAGTTGTCGAACTCCTCCATCAACAAAGGCAGCCATTCCCGTGTCCTTTCACCCATGTCTGTAAGTAGCCTAAAGTGTATATGGCGGGAGCAACGAGCAGTATCATTTTCTTGATCCTTTTTGGTGCCTCTATTTTTAACGAGCCCGAGGAAGATTCCTACTCACACCGGCGAATTTTCGATGGCTTTGCCGCAAACGATCGATCGGCCACTTCAAGCAGCTCCTTGCCCCAATTCTGTGGGCTGATGCCGAGCACCCCTTCTCTCTATCAGAAGTGGTCTTCACAGCTGTCCATCCTCGTTATGAAGTAAATTGCATCTCGATATCACAAGAACCGTAGAGAAGCTTTGGGGAGGCACTCTATATGGAGTCGAGATCACCGGTGCTCCTCAGCTACCTCGGCTATGCATCACCTTCTCCACAGCACAACCTCTTCCTCCGCTGCCGCTTTGCCAACAACCTGCTGCTGCCGAGGAGCCCCACAAATCGCCATCCTTTGTGTTTGATGCTCCACGCGGTCCGTGTCGTAACCAAAAGCATTCAAGATTACCGAACGCTATGGTGTATCCGTCGCCGCACCTGCTCCTATTCTCGCCAATCTCCTTCTTCTGTTCAGTCACTTCGGCCTCTGCCTTGTCATCCTCGCCTTTTAGGCAGTCTCGCCACAAGCGTGATTAGAACCGTCATTTTCGTTCGCGACTGAGCTCAAGGCTGCACTGCGCACTGACGGACACATTCCACAGGACCATCGGGGTTCAACTTCGATGTGGGGGACAGCCTCCTGTCAAAAGGCAGAGATTCGCGGATCGGTGAAACTTGTTTGCCGCGCATACGATCTTGCTCGAGACACACATTGAGGCAGCCAAGTTTGCCGGAAGGTTCTAACGAGATCTGCAGACTTTAAACCTGAAATATTGCTTTGGGCCTTTCAACCGTCTTACTAGTGCGGGAGGAACATGCGAATACTAGGCTATCGGTCAAGGGTCGGTGCTTCGCTAAGATCTGCATCCCCTCTCCTCTTCATGGACGGCAATCTCAATCGCCGTTCACTCTTTGTTTAAGACCTGACTGATCGTCAAGACGGGATGCGGTCCCTTGTACGTGGTGTCGAGGGCTTCAAGAGATTTCCGAACTCCCGCTCATGAGACTTTGCATCTGCATGGAACCCTTTTTGCCAAGTGTCTCGATGGGAAGCTACACATCATGCTTGGCGCGCCTGCTGTAGTACCCTCGCTGAAAGGCTGCAACTTACGTCCTGCTGAGGAGATGCCGTCGAGGTCGCAAACTATGGCCGAGCAGCTGCGCTCCACGATTCCATCGGAGCCTCTGTGCCAAGACCTCTGATCCAAATTGAGCTGCCGCCGTCACCGCGAAACACGTCCGGCGGGGGGAACAGCAACTCAGACTAAGCGCTCCACCGGGCCCCCGCACTACTCGGCGTACCCTGCAAACACCTCCCTGTTACAGCCTGTTTCAGACTTCCGTACAACATCAACCACCTTAGATCCCTATAAGTAGCCGGCACACCGGAAAGGATTCTAATTTTTAATCCAAACATCAGGTCTCCTTTTTTTCCTCTCCCGCTGGAGCTCTTTAGACTCTTCCTCTCTCCGATCTCTGACTGCAAAAGGCTCTAGCTTGTCCAGTCCGATTCACTTTCAGGTACTTGCGACTCTCCCAAACTTCCATCCTCCTTATCGAGCTATCAAAATGAAGTCGTTGAGCCTGTCATGGGTCGCCTTGGCGTTGGCCATGGGTGCTTGCTCCATCTCTTCTACCGTTGCTGCACCTGCCGCTTCTGCGGCTGCGGCACCCGCCGTTACCTACATTGTTGCTGGCAAGCCTTCAAGACAATCTCACTTCGCTCTGGCTGCTTTCATCGAAACTAACATCAACTCTGGCACTGATGGAGGTCTCTACGCTGAGATCATTCGCAACCGGGCTTTCCAGGACAACGTCAACAACAAGGCCAACGCCAAGAACACTCTCGGGAAGGGCACTCTCCTCCACTGGACTGGTACTAGCCAGTCGACCAAGCTCTCACTTTCTCTTGAAAATCCGTTCTCGCCTGCCCTCCCTCAGTCTGCCATTATCGGTGGAGACAGGAACAAGTCGTGTGGTCTTGCCAATGGCGGCTACGAAGGTATCGCTGTCACCACACAGCCACACAAGCTCAGCTTTTACGCTCGCTCACCTGCTGGTCAGCCAGCCACTGTGCAAGTTGAGGTTGGTCTCTATTCGAGCGACTACTCGACCACCTTTGACAAGCAGACCTTGCCACTCAAGCTCACTGGCGAGTGGCAAAAGTTCGAGACCACCTTGACACCGAAGCAGGCATCCAGCAACAACAACAATATCTTTGCTATTCAGACACAGGGTGCATGCCAGGACGGCTTCCAGGTGAACCTGGTCTCTCTCATGCCTCCTACCTACGAGGGCACCGTAGCCAGGCAAGACCTTGCTCAGGCGCTTGCCGACATCAAGCCAGTCTATGTCCGTCTGCCAGGAGGCAACGATCTTGAAGGAAACACCATTCCATCTTGGTTCAACTGGACCAACGCTGTGGGCGACATCAAGAACCGCCCTGGCCGTGTCCCCACTTGGACTCCGGGCTGGAACACCGAAGGCCTCGGACTGATGGAGCTCATGGACCTCACCGAGAAGTGGGGTGCTCGGGCCGTTCTTGGCATCTACGCCGGCTACTCGCTCGACGGTAAAGCCGTGCCCAAGAACCAGCTTGGACCTTACATTCATTCTGCGCTTGAGCAGCTTCACTTCCTTCTTGATAAGTCCGGCCGATGGGCTGACCTCCGCAGATCATACGGCCGCGCTGAGCCTTACGACTTTGAGCACATTGAGATCGGGAATGAGGACTGGCTAGGTGCCGCCATCAACACTTACGGTGCCTACCGATGGGCTGCTTTCCGTGATGCCATCGCCAAGGAGTTCCCTCAACTGACCCTCATTGCCTCGACACTGAAGAATGGCGTCGAGGGCGCGAAGGCGGTCGACGACCACATGTACTCTACGCCCGATCAGATGTTTGACTTCACCGAGGATATGGACGCCACTTCGCGTAGCGTACCTATCTGGGAGCTCGAGTTTGCCGTCATCAACTCGGGTCTCACCAACGACCAGGACATTTACTCGGGTCCAGGTCGATTGCAGCACCCCACATTGATTGGCGCATTGGCAGAGGCCGCTTTCCTAGCTGCTGCGGAGCGGAACGGTGATGTGTACTACAGCGCTGCCTACGCACCCATCTTCCAGAACGAGGGAAAGAATCTGACGCAGTGGACTCCAGATCTTCTCAGCTTCAACCCGGGTCAGATGGTCAAATCGACTTCGTACTACGTTCAGTACGCATGGGGTAACTATCCGATTAAGCAGATTCACGACGCCAAGTTGTCCACGCCTACGAAGTCATCGCACATCTACCACTCGTTCGGTTCCAACAGCGAGGGTCAGCTTGTTGCCAAGCTGATCAACGCCAACGCTAAGCCGAGAACCGTCAAGGTCCAGGTTGGAGATGGCAGCAAGTTGTCAGCTGGTGGAGCCAAGAGCTGGCAGATCAAGGGGAGCGACGCCCAGGCGGCCAACACCCTTGGCAACCCTTCCCTCGTGGTCCCGCAGGCCAACGCAAACGGTCTTCCTGAAGGAGCACGGCTTGAACAGGACGGCTCAATGACAGTAACCCTCCCTGCATACTCTGCCACCGTCCTCACTGTGCCTGTTGCCTAGATGTGGACGTCTTTTCTCTTTCGTTTACCCATCCTCGGTCGCCTTCCTGAGTAGACCTTGTGCTCTTTCGCAATTCCAGTCACTTTTACTGTATGGACCTTGACACTTTGGTGGCACCAATCAGCTTTGAGTGTGTCGTTAGATTCACCTTGCTCCTGCGCCCTTTTACCTTCTGAGCCAGAGGCGACGATGCTGTGACCTCGAAATCAGGCTGCAGTACCAAAACCGAGAACAGGATTGCCTTGCATGTCTGCTGGTAGACTGCTCCAGTTGAAATATAGCAAGGTATAACACCACTTTGAAGCCACGATCAGGCTTCCTTACCACAGGTGTGTAGCTACTTGAATACTTGATATTACTACGAAGGAGTGTGAATCACCACATGAGCATATATATACCTTAGCACTATCTCTGAGAGCGTTGGACTGAGATGAGTCGAGTGCCTCCTGCAGTGCTCCTGAGTCGTTGCCATGTCAACCTTCATGTATTTCACATGCATGACGCTTATTCACGAGTTTTGCTCTATCGGTGTCTCGGGTAAAACTTTGGAACCACGTTCGGAATGCCGACGTTATCTTCAACTGCTCCTTATCAGATGGGCGAGACACGATCAATGCTTCGACAAAGAGGTTGGCCGTGTCTTTGATGCCTGTCACGACTGGAGCAGCGCCAAACAGATTCGAAGAGTGTTGTAGGCGAGATGCATGTCGTGCATTAGCGTGCACAGCAGTGCAAGCCGCTTGCAAACTTGAAACGAATTGTGCCGGAGTGTCACGATACACTAGGCTGACGAAGGCATTCTGAAAGGTCACGGGAAGGATCGGAGCCAAGTTTGGACCGGACAATCGCCATTAGGGCGGTCGTGATTCTTTCTCTGCCAGCCAAAATAAAATAAAAAAAAGCGGCCCTTATCTGATTGGATCAACATCTGATAAAGGAAAACGCTCCATTTTAAAACGGATGTTCGTCGAATTGCCAGATTGTATTGACGATTATCGAAAATTTGTGTTGTGGCACTAGTGGACACATATGGTTTTCACCTTCCGTCGCCATCCAGGCTTGCAGTGTCAATAACACTTTTCACCGCCGCTTCGATTGTTGTGGGCGGAGCCGCTGAGCCTCGAACCGACGGTCCTCCTTCTTCCTGTTGTTGCACTGTAGCGAAGAAATCTTCCCAGAGAGCGCTCGACTGTCTCCCTTCAGTACGGACCAATCGGCTTCCAGTCTGTCAAAGTTCCTCCGCTCGCTTCTTTGGTCCTTGCATTCACGGGCTCGATCCTGTGCACCTCTCTTCTCCGATCTGATAACTTGCTCCACCGGTGCAGCTACTCGGTCCTCTTGCCTCGTGTAGCAATGCCATGCTCGCTAAATCTATCCATCAACTTGCAACGCGAAATCGGCGATAATCTTGTGCCGCTTGTTGCAAGAATCAACAACGGAAGAAGACCGCCATGCCTGTCGGAACATTGCTTTCCGGCGACAGAGCTGATTCGTCCCAAATGAAAAATTTTCTTTCAAAGCCAGTTTAACCTACTCGAATCAATGTTGTAGTTGCAAAGCAGGAACCGACAGGTGCTTGCTTCGTTCAGGCACAGCGTACGCACACAGACGCTTCTTGTAGCACAGAGGGGCTGACGTGACTTTACAGACATATAAGCACGCCTGAAGTCTCTTATCAAGTTGGCCAGAACATTCTCCGTTTCCACAAGGCTCCCCCTATACCGTCGTCTTCCAGTAATAGTAATCTCACCTCGGCTGCGGACCATCTGCTCAGGATGATTGCAAAGCCTTGGGAACTCGATGCCAAGGCGTTGAAGAGGATTGCTCAACTTCCTGTCGAGAAGCAACCGTATGCCCTCATCACGTATCGACACTACAATTTCAACACCTACAAGCTGCCGTTCATCTTCGCGTACGTAGAGGTCAGACAATCATCCCATCATCTCCCTACACCGAATACCATACTGATGACCTCAACCTTGCTTCTTCGTGCGAACACTATGCAGCTTCTTGATCTACGGTCTATTCTTGTTGCTCATCATTGGTGCTAGCATCAACAATCTGTTGGCCTGGGGCTGGCCAGCGCTGCATGCCAGATCGAAGCGAAAGCTTCGACTGTTCCGTGCATATGTGACCGAGCATCCCCTTGTTCATCGCAAACATGCTTCCGTTGTCTCCTTCTCGCCTCTCAAATGGCTCACACTCCAGCTACCTCTGCGTGGCGAGGCTATCATCGTCTTTCTTTACTCCTTCCTCAACTTTCTTCCCCTTGTCACCTTCTACAACCTCTACGTGAGTCCCAACAACACGTTCTACCCAGGGCCAACTGGCAAGCGCGACCAGATTTGTCGTCACCTTGCGGATCGCGCTGCCATTCTTGGAGTCTCTCAGCTTCCTCTGCTCATCTTGATGGCAAGCAAGCGAACTCCACTCGCGATCATGGCTGGTCTGGGCATGAACAGCTTGATGCTCTATCACCGATGGATTGCACGATGGTTCTGGCTTCATATCCTCATCCACACCGCCGGATTCACTGCCATTTACATTCGTATAGGTGGTGTAGCGGAGCTACTGGAGCATAATTACGTGATATGGGGCATCGTGGGTCTCAGTATGATGTCCGGACTTGTCTTCTTTTCCCTAAGAACCTTACGACAGCGCCACTACGAGGTAAGTTGATCCACTCTTCGTCCGGCCTGCTTCCAGTTTGAATTCTAACTGACTATGCACACCCTGACCTGGCCCTCAGATCTTCGTCATGCTCCACATCACGATGGCATTCTTTGCCATGCTCGGCACTTACCTCCACATTGCATTGATCAGGTCGCCCAAGGTGAGTAGACTTTCAGGTATTGCGAGCTTCATCGCCACGCGTCCTCATTTCACCAGAATCTGACCAACTGGCTTCCTCCGCTTTTGGTTTTACACGGCACTAGTTCCAAATTTTTGTGGTGTTGACCGAGATCTCTGCAGCCATCTGGGCCTTCGATCGCTTTGCCCGCTTGGTGAGCCGGTTCTATCTTTCCTTCTCTTCGCCTCGCTTGAGCCCTTCCTCTGATAAGCAAGGGTCTAACCTCGTCAAGTGCGCGACAGGCAAGATCCGCGCCTTCGGCTGCAACAGCGAATACACGCGCCTTCGCATCTCGGTTCCTGCTTCGAAGCTGCGTTTGTCCAATCAGCGCAGAATGATGAGCGGAATCGCTGGTGGTGACGACATCCGCATCACCATTCCTCGCCTGCAGTGGGTCGGCGAACATCCTTTCACCGTATTTGCGGTTGGAACCCAGTCTGAAGATCCTACGCAAGGCTTCATTGACTTGCTCATCAAGACCGAGGCCGGACTGACGCGCAAGCTTGCCCAGCTTGTCAACAAGCCGACAGGGAGTGGTAGCCAAGAAAAGGATGTCGAGCTTGCTGGTGACAGCAACAGGAAGAGTGAAGTTGCAGTCTTGATCGAAGGTCCTTTTGGTATCATCCCAGACATCCACGAAGCGACAGATCTAGTTTTGGTATCAGGGGGTATTGCAATCACTTTCGGCTGGGCGTTGTTCAACGCTGCTGTGCACGCAAGCAGGAGATCAAAGCTGAACTCCTGCAAGCTTATTTGGATTATTCGTGACCATGGTAGGTAAAGAAGTGTGTACCGTCACAACAGAACTTAAAAACAAACAGCGAACTGACCTCAACACTTACTCTGAACCATCTCCGCTCACCTTCTTTGTCTGACCACAGAAACTCTTACGATTGTGGAAGAAGCATTCACCGAGCTTGTGAAGATGATGGAAGAAAAGCAATTCTGGAAGCGATGCCGTTTCTCGATCGATATCTATGTCACTTCGCAGAAGTACACTAGTCATGGCGGCTCGACAACTGCTTCTGACTCAGTGCCGACGTTGCCTTCATCGCGATCGTCATCCTCAAACTCGATCAAGGAGAAGCCCGCCACCGAACTGCCTCAACCTGGGGAGTCTTCGACCCCTGTATCCGATGCCGTAGCCGAACTGCCTATGATCCCACATCAAAACCAGATTCAAGACGGCGGCGAGGAGCAAGGAGACCTTTTCTCCAAAGGCGCAGAGGGCAACATCATCAAGGTGACACGCTTCGGTGGTCGTCCTCAGGCTCTCGATACTGCCCTTTTCGGCCACTTCGATCAGCAGTATCTGCAAGAGAGCAAGGGCCTGACTGTAGGCCTGTGCGGACCGCCCAGTTTATGCGATGATGTTCGGGCAGAAACGGTCAACTTGCTGAAGAAAGGTGTCAACGTTGAGCTGCTTGAGGACTGCTTCACCTGGTAAAAGGACCGGGACCAGCTTTCAAGGCAAACGGATTGGCGCCAAGCCTGATCTCTTTCAACAAAGAGGTGCGAACCTACAAAAAATGTCGTCTGGGGGATATGAAGAGTAATGGAGACGTCAAGGCCTTGTTTGGGATACGTACACCAGTATGGTCGCCTTTGAAAAGGAACCTGAGTTCCTCGGTCGAGTCGGATGGAATCACCAGCATTCCTCAAACGGACGTCAAGACGCCGTGGCTGTCCCGGATAGCGCTCATGTAATTAGAGCGGAAGCATTGGGATCTCAACTTTATGTTTGTGCATGCATGTCAAACAAATGCCAGAGAGTGCTGTCAGTAGAGCTACGTTCCGACTCAGCTTTCAAAACAATTGGACAACGACCACGTCAACGCATGTGTTTGTGGATTACAGTATTGAACAGCTTATCACATTCGCTGCTGTGCTGTGAACAGTATCAAGCCAACGCTGCTGCTTGAATCAGGCTGGCGGCTGCAAGGCTCCTCGCATTTCCGGCGAGGTATAGTGAAGCGCACTTGCCTACAAGCTCACCTGCTTTTCTCTTTGCCTACGTGGGCCGGTGGGATGATCGACAGGGTCGAAGCCCCCACTACGATACATCGTTCAGTTTCAAATGAGTTCAGAATTTCGGCAGAGTTCGAGCCGAGTCGTGCGAATGGAACGTGCGCTCGTTTCAATGGTGGGCGAAGGCACGTGACCTGAGTCGTGTCACTTCATATTGCTCATCTCATCTCCTGTCTCTCTCGTTGCTTCTTCTCCATCATCTTCTCTCCTCTTGCGCAAGCCTCCTGGCTGCGCTTCGTCAAGTTGACCCTCCCTTACCTTCTCACGCTTGTTCATGCTTCTCACGTTTCGTTCTCTTTTGTACTTCGTTCTCACGCGCATTCCGCCTCGCTCTCACGCGGCGCTCGACCGGCCGTGCCTCTTACGGCCACGGCTGGGAGCCCGCAAGCGACTCACCTGAGTTAGGCGATTTAACATTCTGACACAGACTTCAGGCGCGTGAGATAACTCACCGTTGATCAAAGTGACAGCCTCCCATACCTTCGAACATGACTCTGACAGGAATGAACTTTGTTCACGAGCACCGGTGTATCGGAGTACACAGCACGTGAAGTGAAGTCGGCCCAAGATGAGCTCGAGGTCAAAGCATGTTTAAAAATACAGGCGTGGGCTAAGATACCCCATGTGCCACAGTCAATGGAAGTTTCACCGCCACCGACAGCAAGAGGACCGCCGTTGTACGCATAGATGACATGTGAAACGGTACACTGTCCCTTTCGAGCCCTTTTCAGTCGAGAGGGCAGTGCGCCTGAATGCTCCAGGAACGCGGTTAATGAGAGACGCTTGGAAAGTTGACCTGGTGTATGCTCGCATATAGTTTGACTTGGCTACTATCTTGCTCGAAGTTGGACCTCTTGTAGATGCGCGACGTGGGCCTCGACGCAGGTACCCTAACCCCTTACCTAGAGGGGGTTCGACCGGCATCCGCCTGGAACAGGATCTCAGCTTAGAAACGAATCCAAGCGACAAGCACATGGGCACATGGAAGTGCATACAGACATGGCTCTTGCCGCCTGGTGCTCAACGTTGCTCTGAATGTGGATCCCGTTGGTCGGTGCTTATCCGAACTTGAGATCCGAGCTCTTTCGCCTTCTGACCTGCTCGACCAAACCAACACCTCTGGGCCCCCTTTATTTCGCTTTTCAGCTGTCACTGATGACGCGACACTCGCATATCCGATTCAAAACTGTACTGCTCGCTTCCAAGATCGCTTGTACGAACAAACATGTGTGTCGTCGCGATCCGTCTCATCATATCGCTTCTCCTACTTTGGAGGTTTAACTTTTTTTTTTTTTTTTTTTTTTAACAAATAAAGTGAAAGCATGTGAGCCCTAGTTCGATCTCACACTTTCGCCACCTTCGCTCATTCAGATAGGTACTATCTTGCCCGGATCGACTGTCGCGATAGGCATCGGCATACTGGCTATAAGACATCCGACATAGTTTCCCTGTCATGTTTCAGCCTTAACATCCTTGTATCATACACGTATACACAGAACGCTGGAGGACATATGTATGCATTCGAAACATCTTGTACTTAGATTATGATTATCATCGCAATCGACACTTGTGATCAACGCTATTTACTGCACGCTCTGCAACAATTAATAACATATTTTTTATTGTTCAACCTGCCAAAGTGCGCGTAGCGCTCGTCTCGGAGAAATTGCCGCCGTTGCCACACACCTCTCCAGCAAGATGATATCGAAACTCGGTACTCTTCCCGCTGTTCTTCGTTCTGTGATGTACTGGAGCAGCGCAGACCCCTCTCAGTAGAGGACCTCATCGTCCAGACAGTGCTCTTTGACAGCAGCGGTTCCTGTGAGATACCAGCATGTATGCCGGTTTTGCGGTAACATTCTTTCCGTGAAAATATGGAAGCACAGCGTGCGGTGCTATCAGCGTGCATACGGCGTCTATATTGACGACAGACCGTGCCTTTCGCCACCGCACCTCAATGGAGCCGACAATGACCAAGATAGCTCTGAATGGCATGCAACTCTGTTTGGAAGGAAGACATTTTGTCACACGTTGTCGCTGGCAACCGCCTTGGCGAGCATGTTCTTCGAGGTCGGGATCATTTCGTGCTCGGTCCCCAGAATACATACCTCCAGCTGACGGTGCTTATCCTAACATAAAGCCTATTGAGCTTGACTTCTGTTCCGGATACTCCGATTCCGTTTCAAGCACGCAGAGATCCCTTCGTCTTCCTAGACCTGCAGTTATCCGAGGCCTCCTTCTATCCTTAAGTATCGTGCAGAGTAAGCCACTGATCCTATGAAAGCAGGTCTGCTTTGCTTTTGTTCTCCCACCATCACTCTTATACCTCGTCACCAGCTACTTCAGTATCCATATCGACTTCTTCCATCGACGCGGAGAATCAACAACTTGAATCTTCTTCTTCCTCCGAAAACACATCAGGTGTGACGCGTTCCTTCATCAAAGCATTAAACAGCACCATAGCTCTTTCGTGGCTCTCACGTCAACGAGAGGAAGATGATCACGCCTCCGTGGGTGTTAGACACTTTTGCTCTGCAACAGATTGCCGACTTGCCCGACGATCGAAAGGAACACGGCTGGGCGACGTTTCGACACTATTATTACAATTCTTACAAAGTGCCATGTCTTGCAACGTGAGTTTTGCCCTAGACAGGTCGCATACGTCGACAAATATAACAGGGCTTGTTGTTGACGCTCTAGATCCGCATATTTTTGCATCGTGCAGGTTCGTCATATGGGGCCTTTTTCTTACCCTTATCCTGGCTGCGGCTTCGAGCGCATTGGTCGAGCACTTGTTCCCTCGCTTGTCTCACACGATGTCTCGCAAATTGACATGGTGGCGAGGCAACATATCCGAGCACCCCCTTGTCTCACAAAGGCATTCACAGATCGTCACCTGCGGTAAAGGTTGCTTCCGATGGCTTACTTTTCACCTCCCCCTCCGACTCGAGGCCATGATCCTAGTCGCAATGCTGGCGGCCAACATCGCACCTATCGTCGGCTTTTACTCTCTGTACGTCGGCAACAACACCTACTTTACTGGTACAGATGCCGTCAGTCGTCGCTCTCAGATTCTCAGGCATCTAGCCAACAGGTGTGCCATGCTCGGTATCTCCCAACTTCCCATGTTGATACTTTTGTCGAGCAAGAGAACACCGGTGGCAATCCTCAGTCAGCTTTCCATGAACACCATGATGCTCTTCCATCGCTGGATTGCAAGGACGTGCTACTGTCACATAATCATTCATACGCTAGGAAACGCTCTTATCTTCCACTATTCTGTCGGATTCGTGGAGAGCATGAGACTGTTGCCGGTGCAGCTCGGCACAGTTGCACTGATTACGCTCTCCGGTCTTGTCTTCTTGTCACTCAGGACCTTGCGCAAGAAGCACTATGAGATGTTCGTTTTCATGCATATCAGCATGGCTTTTTTCATGATCCTGTTCACGTACCTACATATCAGATTTCTCCACCAGGGCAGGGTAAGTGACAAGCGCAACCAAAATCGATTGCAACAGAAGCTGACACCATCACAGCTCACTACACGAAATACAGCTACGACTCCAGATCTTCGTCATTGAGCTGACTGCGGCTTTCTGGGCTTTCGACAGAACAGTTCGATTTCTTGGTCGAGTAGTCATGTCGCTCTCTTGGAGGCACGCCGACGGAGCTGGTGCGACCCGCAAGGCGGAACTCACCTCTTACGCGAAGGGCGCTTACATTCGCATGCGGATACAAATTCCAGCCTCGCGCCTTTGTCTTCCTCCTCTAACAGTTTCTACGTCGCTTGACTCTTCACTGGAGCTCGGCAAGAATATGAAGCACTGCTGTAACGTGGCGACCGGATCTTTGCCAAGCGCCGTTCTATTTCGCACTGCCAAGGTCGGAGCAGGGGATGACATCCGCATATCAGTCCCCAAGCTACAGTGGGTGGGTGAACATCCGTTCTCAGTCTTTGGTGTTGGACGCTGCAAGTCCGGCAGCCCCGATATGGGCTACATCGACCTGGTGATACAACGCCAAGCTGGTCTGACACAGAAGTTGTCGAAGCTTGCTGAAGAGCTGACAGCCTCATCCTCGCTCGGCAGCATCGATTCCGGCGATGAGCATTCATCACGACCAAAGGGCAGGCGAGTTAGGGTAGTCATTGACGGCCCTTTCGGCAAGAGTCCTTCGCTTGAGGGAGCTCGTCACGCAGTCTTAATCGCTGGTGGTATCGCCATCACCTTCTGTTACCCTCTCTTCGTCAAAGCGGCTAGAGGGGAATTTAGGAGCCTCGAATCTTGCAAGCTCGTATGGATCGTGCGTAACGAAGCAATCCTAGACGTTCTTCGTGACAGTCTTCCTGAGCTGCTTGAAGAGATCAGAAGTAGAGGTGGCAATTTCTGCAAACTTTCCATTGATATTTACGTCACCTTAAAGCGCACAGCGGCTCCCGTAACGCAATTAGACACGATGGCTGTGGATCGGAGAGGCAGTTTGCCGATGACGCTGGAACATACGTGGAAGTCCAACTCATATTCACTGCATAGCCCTTCTTCATCCGTGACCTTGTCATATGGAGGAGAAGATAGTTGCAGCAGTGGCTCTCCGCAGGTGTCGACCAGCAACTCTCAGGTTTGGGACGGCGTCAGATACGATGGACACAGTGATGTCGTGTTCGTGCCCACCCTGTTGAGTGGACACTCAACTCGCCATCAATCACCCCAGCCAGCATACATGTCGGACGAGGTCTTTCGCACCCGAACCGAAAGGAGCACGTGCGTTCCATACTCTCCCTATGCGTCTCAGGTAACCTTCTCACAGCTCAGAAAGGAGATGTCAAACATCAAGATTAATCTGTTCTCTCCAAAGTCGCCAATAATTCTGGCAAAGAGTACAAGACTCTTTCCAACAACTCTTCTGGTGCAAGACGAGGCGGACTCTGTTGGACATCGCACGGGTATTCAAGGGCCACAGGAAGTGCTTCTCGATTTTCAAGCGAAGGGAAAATTTGCACATGGTGCTGAGACCCCTCGCTCCGCCTATTCAGTTGCGAGCTCGCAGTGCACTGGCTACCAGATCAATGGCAGCAGCACCTTGTCATCTCAAGAGCTGCAGCTGCAGAGCACAAGCGACAATCTGTGGAGCGCCTCTACTGCACACAGCATGTTGCACCCCGATTCGCCTGGTTTTTCGTACCATTCACAGCATGAGGCAAATCATCGTCAATTTCTCAGCTCGCAGGATGTCCTGGCAGAGTCACAAGGGGGCCTGATCGAGGTTCGTCGGTTTCAAGGTAGACCATCGTCCATGGCGGCTGTTCACGGACATATCCTTCAGCAAGAGGGTGATGCGACGGGTAGGGTTGCTTTTGCAACGTGCGGCCCCGCCCCGATGTGCGACTCGGTTCGTGCGGAAGTAGTCGCTTTGCTGAAGAAGGGTTTGGATGTAGCCCTGGTAGAAGATTGCTTCAATTGGTGATCGTTTCATGCCACATGCCGAACTGTCCGCCGTGGTCAGACAGTGTCAGGTGTATTTTCATTTCCGTTCTGCAGCCCTTTCTAGTTTTGTGTGACCTTTATTCCGATAGAGGCCCGTTCACTTGTCTATGGCTCTTTTGTCGGCTTTGTGCAGCAGCGCTCAGCATGCCGTGAGTTACGGCTGTCCCTCCATGTCAGTAGAACAGAGTCCCCTCCTAGGCGAAGGAATGCGAAATCGCACCTATCGTTTGCCAGCAGCTGCCAAATGACAGACCGTGGAAGGAGAGAGGACAGGTTCTCACTAACCGGTGAATTACGGACCGAAGAGAGCGAGAAGAGGCACTGCCAAGATCTGCTCTATGCAAACCATCTCAGACCCTGTCGAAAGCATTCTGCAGCTTCATGTTCGAGGGTTTGGGCTGACTTGCAAGAATCACCAGGCTCGGGCAAGCGAGCTGTGAGTGTAGAAAAAGTGAACAAAGGTGCGGACCCTGGAACAGCTGACTAGCATGTAAAGTTTTAATCTGCAAGGGTGCAGAGCAGTCAGCGATTGGCAGGTCCTCCGAGATGGACGAATCAGATAGCGGAGTGGACAAGCGAGCCTTCCCGCTTCCACATACCATGCGTTGCGAAACATGTGAGTTTCTCTCGCCGTCCATGTCTCTCTTTCTGCTCGCTACCTGGTCCGAACAAACGTCAAGTTGAAGCTCAGCATGGCTTGGCGCTTGATCCCAACCAGCTGGAGCGGCGTGGGCCGTACCTCATCCTGGTCCGATTCTGACCGACTCAGGCATGTCGGTTAGGAAGGAAAAAAATTCTCTTGAAAATTCTTCCTGAAGCACATGGTTGACAGGCGATCCCTCGCTTGCATCTTATCTGATTGGGTGCCGTCATTCACAAGGCGAGAAGACGCTGTCCCTTTTGACGAGGCGTTCCCAAACTGTCGTGCAAGTATCTTGACTCGTGAGCTTTCTGACGTGAATAGCTGAAGTTTGCCTATCTAATCCCAAAGTCGTCCGAACATGAAGAGCAAGAACAGATAAAGAGGATAGCCCCTTCCTTCATGAACATCCCCTTCCTTCATGAACGTCCCCTTCCACCTCGCATGATCCTGCACTCCACCATTGACTCTCTTTCCAAAAACTTCACAACGACGGTACAATGTCGCAGGCCGTAGGACGCGCTTCCATCGAGGAGATGGCTTCTAAGAACGTCATCAGCCCTGCTACTGAGGCAGGACAGAACCACGATACCGCTGACAGCCAATCGTCACTGTCCAGCATCGCCGAAAAGGATGCAAAGTCTGCCCGTCAGGCCGCACCCATCGCTGTGGTCCCGCATCTCTCTTCGAACGACGATGACGAAGCTTGGGTCGTCGATGCGCAGGCAGGCGCTGTAGAAGCTACTTGGAAGCACCGAGTGCCCGCCCTCCTCATGATCCTCTTCTTCACGTTGGGCAGCAATTTTGCCCAGTCCTCCCTGTCTCCACTCAAATCTACCATCAAGAAGCAGATGCCTGAGGTTACCAACGCACGTTACGGTGCCATCGCATCGGCAGAGTCGCTTGTCAACGGTATTCTCCCACTTTTCTCGGGTATCATGATCGACTACTACGGGCCCAGCATCACGTCCCTTCTTTCCAGCACTGCTATTCTCATCGGGACTATTGTCCGAGCTGTAGGTGGCCAGCGTAAGAGTTTTGCCACTATCTTGGCTGGCCAGATCATCTTTGGGTTCGGAAGTACCACCATTGAGACAAGTCAGTCGAAGCTCTACACCCACTGGTGCAGAGACAGTCCCCGCAAGACCCTCGAGGAAGGCTCCAAAGAGGAAGTGCAGAAGCCAAGAAAGTGGTATCGCACTCTTTCTAGCGCGGGCTGGTTGGGCTTCGTGTACGGCTTGGACATTGCCATGGGCCGTGTCTTCAACGTCATGGGCAAGATGAGCTCGGTCCCTGTCGCAGAAGCAACCGGCAAGTGGTACTGGTCTTTCTGGCTGTCAGCCATCCTTTGTGCCGTCACCCTTTGTCTGAACGCCTCCTACGTACTTTTCGAGCGTGCTCTTCCCAAGAAGATGCGCGTGGTCACCGGCCGTCAGCTCGCTGCTCAGTCGGCTGCCTCTGTGTCGGTCGCCTCGAACAACAACTCGTCTTCCACCGTCGACAAGAAGGCTTCGGACAAGACCGATGGGCAGAAGCAGAAGGGGGTCCTGCAGCCTTTCTCTAAGCGGCACTTCCAGCTGCTCACACTCAGCGTCGGCGCTATTCCAGCATCGTTCTGGCTAATCACCATGACGCAGATCCTTCAGTCGGGGGCTGTCAATGCTTACAACGCTAACCTCGCTGAGGTCGTCCAGATCACCCGTGATAAGACTGCTCTCATGGCCGGTTACGCTTCCTCCGTTGGCCAGGTCCCACCCATCGTCCTTACCCCTCTTCTTGGCCTTATGTTTGATCTCTTCGGTCGCCGCATGTACTACGTCGCTGGCTGCGCTGCTCTTTGGGTTGTCGTCTACTCTCTTCTCGTCTTCTCTGAAGTCAACGTGTACCTTCCCGTTGTACTCGGTAGTGTTGCCCTGTCCTTCAACGCTCTGCCGTTCATCGCTTCGATCCCTTTGCTTGTGCCCAACCAGACCTCAATTGGTACCGCCTTCGGTATCTGGAAGTGCTTCAATTCGGCGGGCAGTATCAGCATGGATGTCTCATTTGGTGCCATCCAAGATCTGACCCCCCGTGGCAAGAATCAGTTCAAGAATGCCTTCGCGTTCTTGATCGCTCTCAAGTCGATTGATGTCATTTATGGTCTTTTGTACCACATTATTGACAGGAAGTACTTTGGTGGTGTTCTCAAGCTTAGCGAGAGGCAGCTCATGCAGAAGATGCAGGAGGAACCCGAGGTAGAAAGGAAGCAGGCGCTCAGAAAGCCTATCAAGAAGTGGACCGCGGCGGGCTGCCTGCTTCTCCTTGCTTTCGTCACTACCAGCTACGTTCTCTACATCACCTACTCGATTGGCACCTAGACAAGCAAAATAATCTATATGTTTTGAAAGAGTATGATTGGGTACTCGACCGATTCTCGACTTGTCTCAAGTCCGTGGGTTTGCAAACTGACTCTGCCCTCACAAGGATGGCAAAAACTCTGTCAGTGATGAGGGACCTTTTATCTTCACTCTATCTTCAGGTGTCAGCCCCAAGGTTGAGCCCAGCCATGAAGTCGAATCTAAGCCTACACTGGACTGCAACAGAGAGTTGAGACTTAGCATGTCGTCGTAGGTGGAGCTGGTGGCACCCAAGGCCGGGTCCAAGAATGTAGCCAGGTCCTCGTTGAAATCTACATTGGCGTGCGCCTGCTGACTCGTTTGATACTGTTGACCACTGGAGTGTACATCGTGACTTTGGAAAGCCTGTTGTCGCGGCATATCCGTATGAGAAAGCACGGAGGAACGATTCGAAATATCCTGTTGAATGGGATGCAGCGGAGCATATGGGTGCGCAGGTAAGCGAGAACCCGCGACCATGGACCGCATAGCCGTCACAATGGGGGTTGGAAGGGGCAAGTCCATTCTTGTCCGAAGAGGCCAAAGCTTCTGATCGCCTCTCCCATGCTGCTACCATCAGAGCGACGAGCATGCTCCCGCGAATTTGCAGCTTGAACCTGTCGTCTTTGCTCTTCGGATCTATGTGAACGTTGGGCTGAGAGCTGGGAGAGTCGTTTGCATCGTTCGTCTGCTTCTTGTTGTGCAGATCCAGTAGCCAAATGACAGCGCTACCTTCGATCGCGGTCCAGGCCCTGTTGTGTGACGTCGGAGCAAATCCAGCAAAACCACAAAGGAGAAGAACGGCGGTTGCGAATACGTGTACCACTGGTAGCGCAAATACTGAGCATTAGCGAAGAGCGTGCTGATTGATCTCTTCGACCTGCACCGTACATAGTCGGATGATCTCGAATTCGTTCTCGGGCTTTCGCTGGTTGAGATGCTCAGGGACTCGCACTTTTTCGATCCAGATGCGAGCGTGATGTCGAGCGAACTTGACGAGACTGCTGGATCTGGCGTGGGCATGTTCGAAATATCGCTGCCAGATGTACGTACCGTTCAAATGTCTCGATCGCACTCAAACGTGACGCCAAATTGGGTCCGGACCCTCGATTAACAACCGGGACCAATCAGCTCTGTGTAAACTTAACAAGCGTCATCTCTCTCGTGCTGGCGCTGCAGTGGGGAGGTCAAGCTTCGTCGCTGTCGGCAACAAGCTCATGGAACACACCACGTGTGATTGCTTTGCTTGTTGTGTTTGCGGTGACTCTATTTGCTTTCATTGGTTGGTAGACGTACATGCAAGATCGTGCGCTCCTTCTGCCGAAAGTGTTTGCCGAGAGGACGGTGCTCGGGTCCTTCGGGTACATGTGGTTCTTTGCAGCTTCGATGACGGTCATTTTCTACTACGTGCCTGTCAAGTTTCAGATGGTGCAAGGTGTCGAAGCAATCCAGAGCAGCTACCATACGCTTGCATCGATCATTCCTTTCGTTGTGGCCAGCATCTTTGCTGGTGTGGTGACAGAGAGGACGGACGACTATGTACCTCCGTTGCTGGCTCCACCCATCATCGGCGCAATCGGTGCAGGGCTGATCTCCACCTGGTCTGCTGCAACGCCTGAAGCACAATGGGTTGGCTACCAGATTTTGTAGGGGGTTGGTATGGGATTCGGCATGACTGGTGCGTCGATGGCTGTACAAGCTGCACTTCCGCAGGCGGACATACCGCTCGGAATCGGGGCTCATCTTTTTTGCACGAGAGATGGGGAGTGCTGTGTTTGTTGCAGCAGCCGAGAACCTCCTCTCCAATTGTCTCGTCAAAGGCCTCGAACAGATCTCAGCTCTTCGCGACCGTGCGAGCCAGCTTGCAAAGTCGGATGCTGCTGAAATTCGAAAAGCCGTCTGAGGCTCCGGAGAAGATGTGCTGAACGAGGTGATCAAGACTTTCAACGCAGCGCTGCGACACGTGTGGTACCTTGCGTTCGCACTGACTCTGGTCACCATTCTTCCATCTTTCTTAATCAAATGGATGAATCTGAAGAAGGTCGCCAAACAGCGGGCCGAGGAGAAGCAAGTCGCCAAGGGACAAACAGCGGAGACCGTGGAGGAGGCTAGAGAGTCACCGATCCGTAGATGCAAACATAGCATGAATGTACGTCCCTGTAAACGATGCCTCCTTAGATGCGAATGATACCAATGATCGTAGTGTTACTCGGGGAGCGAAGTCTAGGATTGAAGAACTAGAGCTGCCGTGTGCCTCGAAGCTTGTTGGCTACACCGTCGGACGAAGCGCCTGCGAGAGTCATCTGGCCCTGCATCTGTTTGAGGAAGCGATGACCCTGCATGAGAAGGTCCTTGATCCTTTCTAGGTCTGTCTCATTTTGGAAGCGTTGAACGTCGTCTCGGAAGAATTGAATGGTCTCCCATCGTGCGAGAGGATTCGGAATGTCTCTTGTGGCCCGAAGGTACTTGCGGTACAGAGAGAGGGTGCGGGATCGCATAAGGAAGTGCTCCAAAGTGAGCTGGCTCGATTTGAGGTCAGCACGTGCCGTCCTTGTGACAGTTCCAAGCATTCTAACGGAGCCGAAGAGGTAGGGTGTACTTTGAGAGGTCGTTGGGGGCTTGTTGATGTCAAGACTTATGGAACGAGGCAAAATAAGTTAGTTGTGTTCTTCTCGCCCCTTTCAGTTCCGACATCCGAACCAATAACCTGCTTACTCCACATCATTATTCTACCAGCACAAATGTTAGAGCTAACACTCACACAGCTTCTTCTGTTTTGGGACTCGAGCCGCCGAAAAAGCAAAAGCCGGCGGCTTGAACTTTGAGCGAGAGTTTGGAAGATGCTAAGCGAGCCATGCAGCGGCATCACCTGGCCTGAAAGTCATGCCATTTCAAGCCTCGCCGCAAGCCGTGGACAAGATGAGGCAATACGGCCATGACGGAGGACGGTCAAGCCTTTTCCATAGGGCCCGTTCATTGCAGAGATTCGCTCCGAATGCGCTCATCGGCGCTTCCTGGCTAGGGTCCGGAAGGGGGCAGTATTCACTTTTGCGGGAATGATCTGCAAGCTGCGTTCTGTCTACATAGTTGCCGAGAGCGGGATTTGCCCTTCAGCACTGTGACATTCTCCGTCATACGGGTGTTCAACCTGTGGCTAGGTACACTCACCGGATCGTACTTAGACACCTTGCGCCCCTGTGTGAACAGCTCTGTGTCTCTTACCACCATCAAAATTCTACACTTTTCCGTTCGCCCAAGTCTTAGGGTTAGGAACATGGGTAACACAAACTCTGCTACGGTGAATCGCGACCCGCCCAAGGTCCATCGTGATCTGTGCGGCCTGCGATACGACAACAGGTTTAGCTTTGCTTGGAACAAGCCTCGAGGCATCACTACGACGTGCTTCAACGATGTTGTACTCGAGCCACTAGCAACGTGGGTGTTGCTGCTCGTTCTTCTACCGTTGCTAGCGCTGAGCCTGAGACGCACCAGGTCGAGCTCAATTTGCTCGTCAAGGTTGATCAATTACAGATCATCGACATACCGAAACGAACACAAGTTCAGCGGACGGCATTCCAGATGGCGCACAGCCTTGGATGTCATATACATGCTTCTGGTTGTTGCGGCGTTGCTCATGAGTAAGTTTTCCAGACCTTACGTTTGCAAGTACACAGGCACCCTTACACTGACAGACACCCTCTTTTGTCGTTCCCACTTCAGACATTCTTCAGTTTGTAAGATTGGTACTGGCAGACCGTGGCGCCGGACTGCTCCCTTTCAACTTGGCAGGCATCTTGATCGTCCTCGTCCTTATGCACCTTCGCACCCCAGACCTCGGGGCAGTCAGCTCGACGATTTTGGCATTTTGGACAATGCTTCTCGCTTTCACAGCAGTGGCGTTACCGGGAATGGCCAAGCTGGAAGGTATCGAGGATCGCAAAGGCACTGAATATTTGCTGAGTGACGAGAAGATCGATGTTGGGGTACAGATTGGACTGTATGCAGTATCTTGGCTTGTCGAAGCCTCTCGGTTGGTCAAGAGGTCGGTTGCAGCTCGCAAAGAGTCGAGAGGCTCCTCGAAGCTGCCTGAAACTCCCCACAACGACGGTCTCGCAATGTCGCGATCAGTCGAAGACAAGGCCGTTGCAAACGCCTAAGCCTTGAGAAAGCTCCATTATACCTATCCGAGCCTCGTTCCATCATTCCTTCATCTCTCGCAGCATGCAATCAAACTTGACCCTGATTGTCTACGCAGCTACCGTAGCGAAGGACTGTTAGACAGCTTCGAACGCCCGAGGTGTGACCTGAGGTGAATGTGAGCGGGCTTGCGTCGGAGTTTGGGATGTGATGTCGTTCGCGTGCATGCATGCACAGCCTCCACTTTGCAATGCACTTGGCACTCGCACAAGCCAAGTGAAGTGAAGCGGGTGTTGGTCTTGGCTTGCTGCGTGTCTTTGTACTACTCAACTTCAGCACAATTGCTTCTACCATCATCATCATCATTCAGCCTATCACCACTCTACGCACCGTCATCGCATGGCATACAGGCCACCATGACAGACGCAGCGATCGACTTCGGTCATCAGCTACCCGACCAGCTGCCGACCGTCGCAGCTGCGCTCTCGGCACAGCTCTCCCTCGAGACCGACGTCGCATCCTTCTTGGCCGAGCGAGCTGCTTTGGAGCGAGACTATGCTGCCAAGCTCCGAGCACTTGTGCGCAAGTATCGCGAAAAGAAAGTTAAGCGAGACCAAGAGATCTCGGTAGGACCCACACCCACTATCGAATGGAAGTATGCTCAATCCACGCTCGCAACTCACATCACCGATCTCTACTCGACACACGATGCCACTGCTGCGGAACATAATAATCTTGCCGCCACCTTGGATGGTCTTTCGAACAAGATGATTACCAGCACAAAGACGAGAGAGGAGCTTCGCAAGAAGCACACTTCGTACGCCAGCAAATTGCTGTCCGACCGCGAGAAGACGTACTCCGACAAAGACAAGGCAAAGTCCAAGTACGATGAGCTATGTCACGAGCTCGATTCGCAGCGCCAGAAGCGTGAGAAGGCCGAGGCAGGCGACAAGCATGCGGATCGAGCAGCAAAGGCTTTCCAAGCGGCGGAAATGGACATGTGGAATGGCAAGAACAGCTATCTGATCCAGATTTCCGTCTCCAACAGCGCCAAGCAGCGCTTCTATCGACACTATCTGCCTGCAGTCCAGAATAGCCTTCAGTCCCTTTGGACTCTATCCACGCATCGATTCGCACTCGCTACATCAAAGGCGCAGTCTGCTATTGCAGCACATCACGAGCGTGTTGCCAAAAAGCATCACGATCTGGAAGCAAGGGCTTCAACGGTAGACCCAACCAAAGACCAAAAGCTCTTTGCCGATCATAATCAGCAACGATGGCAAGAACCAAGCGGCTGGTCCTTTGAGCCCTGTGTTGGCTTCTTCGACACAGCCGAGGTGTCGACTGAGCCTTCTGCTGTCACGTTCCTCCAGAATCGCCTCCTTCGATGCCGCTGTCGGATCGCCGAACTCGAACCTCTTGTCGAAGCCAAAGCCAAAGAGGTCGACGGGCTGAACAAGCTTCGAGACACATATCAGAAGCAGCAGGAACTCGGCAACCCTGACGAAGTGATGAATGATCTCTTCGAGTCCACCCGTGCGCTCTTTGGCTTTGAGATCGAACTCCACAACCTCCACGCCGAAGTCGAGACCATCATCGCAACGATTGGGCAGAACCAGGGTCGAACAAGGCCACATCGCTTCAAGCCAGCATCTTTTGGTATTCCGACATCATGCCACTACTGCGGAGACAAGATTTGGGGGTTGGCGAGTAAAGGCTCGGTGTGCAAGCCTTGTGGATACACTGTGCATCAGAAGTGCGAGATGAAAGTCCCGGCTGAATGTAAAGCTGCTCCCTCTGGTGGGCTGGGATCACCGAGGACATCGTCGACTTTCAGTCGACCAAACAGGTCAAGTGCTCTGCTTTCGGGTGGCTTGGGTCGAAGCAACTCTACCGCCACCAGCGCTGCTGCATTATCCTCGGCCGCACCAGCCATGTCTCAGAGCACGACGACAGGTAAAGTAGCGTTCGCATTCGAAGCGTCCAGTCCGCACGAATTAAGTGTCGCAGAAGGAGAGAAAGTGGAACTGCTCGAAGACGATGTTGACGGCACTGGGTGGATCAAGGTTCGCGCCGGTTCAAGAGAAGGCCTGGTTCCGATATCATACTGCGAATTCGGCGACTCTCCCGCAGCAGCATCAATAACAGCGACGCAAGATACAGGCTACGTCCCGACGAGCGTTGCACAAGGTAGTGGACAGTTTGTCAAGGCGCTGTACGAGTACACGGCGCAAGGAGCGGATGAACACTCGCTGACAGAAGGCGAACAGATTGAACTCAGCGCAACTGGATTCAGCTATGCAGACGGGTAAGTAGATTGTCACATGGCAAAAAAGCGTCCTTTCGACAGAAAAGCTCACCACCACTTCCGCTTGTTTCATGTTTCCTGTTCGCAGATGGTGCGAAGGCGTCAAGAACGGGCGCACGGCTATCTTCCCTTCGAACTACGTCGAGGCAATGTAGCCATCTCAGGCCGTCCGACTACTCAATGCTCTGATTAAACGATACCATTCGCTCCATGTTGTAGATTGTGACTGGCGTGTGCGTCTATGCTGATGATTCGTCAAGCAAAACATATTCTCTGGTGCTGGCACCAAAAGTGAGAGTATCTCCGGTTCTGAGTTGGTAGTATCTTGAAATAGGGATCTCGTTCTCGTTGACATACGAGCCGTTGCTCGATTCGAGATCTATCAAGAATGGTCTGCAGTGAAGGACGCGAGCTTGTCAGCATGCTACAATTTCATTTTTGATGGCGTTTTTGACACTCATGCCGATACTTACTGGATGCGTTTCTTCTTGTCGCCGAACTCGTTGGTTGTGATGGTCTGTCGGAACTGAAGCACGGCGTGCTGCTTTGAGCACGACTCGTGATCAAGCGGGATGTCTACCACAGTGCGATCCCGACCGAGTAGATACGCAGACTGCGAAGCAAGATGTAGCACTTGCTGCTCCTTGCCATCTTTGAAGCAATAGAGGCGCCAGGGTGACTTGGGCTTGCGTGCTTCAGGTGGTTCGTGATACTTGAGGACTACACCGTTGACTGTGTTGGACTCTGCGGCGAGAAGGCCTGAAGGAGCGAAGTTGGGTGCGTCGCCATCTTCTGCTGTTTCTTCTTCTTCCTCTTCTGCTGGTGGTGCTGGTGAATGAGGTGATCGACGTGAGCGTGGTGGAGAAGGGAGTCGACTTGTGGATGAGGAAGCTAGCGGAAGAGGTGACCGTGATCTAGAGCGGCGGTGGTCGCGAGACGAGCCTCCACGAGGTGTTCGTTCCTCACGATGGCGGTGTTTAGATGAACAGGAGTGGCGATGTGACTGATCATCTTGGTGATAGCGTGACGCGCGCTTCTTGTCATCACGGTGCCTCGAACTTTTCCTTGCATCTCGATCTTCGCCGTCGCGATGTCGTTTTAAGTAGGAGTTGGAGCGACGCCTGTCATCTGCATCTTCTTTGTGTCGACGAGAGCCAGATGTCCCGTTCGTCCCCCTTTCGCGATGTCGATTTGACCTACCGTCTCTGTGTCGGTCCCGATCGCGGTCGTCACGGTGGGAATGCGACCTTCTTTCCTGGTGTTCTACTTCTCGATCCCTGCTGTGTCTGTTGCCATGTTTCGAACTCGATTCGCGGCGCGAGGATGATGATGCGCCTTCGTCTCGCTCAACCGGTCGAGAGTCACTCCTTGACTTCCTGCCTTCGACGGCAGAGTCCGACATCGTGACGTGCTGAGCGGCGGGCGGTTGCAAAAGCTAGAATGATCAGAAGGCTGCTTCGAAAAGTGAAGCAAGTGAATCGGCTGAACATGAGATGTGGAGTTGACCGAGATCCGAGATATTGCCCAACGTTGTTGAATCGACCGTATCACATAAATGAAAGTAGCGGATCAAGTCGGGCTGCCCGTAGAGGAGATCTAACAAAGGTGAGCTTTCAATCGGCAGGAAACGGCAGCACATTGAAAATGCGACAAGGGTCAGGCGGTTATGTCAGCGGAATGGCCGGGCGGAAGGAATATTCCACAGCAAAAAGCGCGGGCTTGTTCGCTTACAGTGGCGCGTGTTGGCTTTGAAATCGAGTCGTTTCTGATTGGGCCGCTTTGCTCCTTTGAATTGAACTGCTGCTGTGCAAGTGTTATTTCTATCCATTGCGCGCTTGCCACTCTCTGGCTCTCTCAATTTTGTAGTGGAAATTCAAGGGAAAATCCGATACAGGCCGCCTTGAGAGGGAACAGCGCTTTGCGAGGGTGTTTTGGTAATCAGCAATCGTCCAGCTAGCGAACCCAAAAGGCGCACAATTCAGCGACTCTCTGTCTATGCCTCGAGTGAGTGAGACGGCGAGCAAGTCCGTCCCCGCACAAAGCAGAAATCACAGTCAGAGCGTGAGAGGGTGAGAGGGTGAGAGGGTGAGTAGGCAGCGACGACGGACAAGCATTCACTGGCGCGGTGTGTGTGTGCGCTCTAACCAATTTGACTTTTACCGTTCTCGCCATCTTGGTATACCTTAGCTTTCTACCACCTCCGACGTCACATATCATCACTACACACAACCGCAATCATGTCGCTATTCAACGTCAGCAGCGGTCTTCGTGCCGTCATCCGACCTACGATTGCGAGCTCTTCGCGAGCCACCGCCGCCTTCTCGACAACAGCGGCCGCACGTCTTGCCACGCCCACCAACGACAGCAACGTCGGCAGCTCTGGCAAACCTCAGCACTTGAAGCAGTTCAAGATCTACCGATGGAACCCCGACAAGCCATCAGAGAAGCCTCGTCTTCAGTCATACACCTTGGACCTCAACCAGACCGGACCAATGGTGCTCGACGCTTTGATCAAGATCAAGAACGAGATCGACCCTACCTTGACCTTTCGTCGTTCGTGCCGAGAGGGTATTTGCGGTTCATGCGCTATGAACATTGACGGTGTCAACACCCTTGCCTGCCTCTGCCGTATCGACAAGGCTAACGACACCAAGATCTACCCCCTCCCACACATGTACATCGTCAAGGACCTTGTTCCTGACTTGACTCAGTTCTACAAGCAGTATCGATCCATCGAGCCTTTCCTCAAGTCCAAGAACGTTCCTTCTGAGGGTGAGCACTTGCAGTCGCCCGAAGAGCGTCGTCGTCTTGATGGTCTCTACGAGTGCATTCTTTGCGCATGCTGCTCCACATCCTGCCCATCGTACTGGTGGAACCAGGACGAGTATCTTGGTCCTGCCGTGTTGATGCAGGCTTACCGATGGATGGCCGACTCTCGTGATGACTTTGGTGAGGAGCGAAGACAGAAGTTGGAGAACACCTTCTCGCTCTACCGTTGCCACACCATCATGAACTGCTCCAGGACCTGCCCTAAGAATCTCAACCCCGCCAAGGCCATTGCTCAGATCAAGAAGGACATGGCGGTCGGTGCACCCAAGGCTTCCGAGCGTCCTATCATGGCCTCGTCGTAAGCTTCAACACAGCCTTTGCACATGATTAATCCGTTTCGTCTTTTCAATATCAAGTAATTTGCATTTGACATGTTATTTTTAAGCCTGTAGAGTGTCTGAGTTCCTCTGAGCTTGAGTTGCTTCGCTTCGCCACTGCTTCCCTGCGCTTTGCCGACGAGTTGAGTTCCCAAGTCTCGATATCATGAGACTTGGTCCGTGTAGCGTCGGCTCCGTTCCGAGACATGCTTGTTGATTCGATTCTCTCAGTTCGCGTGAAGACACTGTTGTTTCTGGACCTTGGAGGCTCGGCGATGTCGGTTTGTTCTGCTGAGCACCGTGTGGCGAGCATTGACTGTCGTAGCTCTTCCACCTTACTTTCCTCAGGTGCGTGAGGCTGTCCACTCGCACTGCCGAATGAGCTTAGATTGAAGCCCCATAAGGCATATCGTGGGACGATACGACGGGCCTACCGCTAGCAAGTTAGCAAGCTCTTCAGAACGCCGGCCCGTCATGGTGTGGTCCTGTCTCAGCCGCTGACAAGCTTGTTTTACACGAGGAGCAGTAGCACAAAGCTTGCTCGTCATCACGCTCGCTCTCACAGTCATATCGCGCGAAAGACAATGTCCAGGAAAGAGTTCTTATGCTATTCCTACACGGCGACAAAGACTGCTCTACAATGAATTCAATGGCGCCTTGGCCCAACTCTTCTGCTCAGCCCTACACCCATTCTCCCACCTACTGCCCTCACTGACCCAGCCAAACAGCCTGTACCCGATCCAGTCGCGCCACACGATCCTCCAAGTCCTAACAAGAGGCGAAGGAATGAGACTGTTGTACAAAAAGTAGTGTCTGTGCGTGTAGGCTACCTTGACGGCCGGGTTGATCAGGATGACAGGTCGAGCCGGTTGCGAGGCTCGATGAATGTCGTACGATACCAGCTGACACTCTGAAGAGACGCATGTGGGCGAGGATCGGAACTTGAGAGGCAGAGTCACTGGTCCTTCCTCATCGGTCTTGAGGGAAGAAAAGGACGAAGAGGGATAGAACCACTTTGCATCGAATGCAGTGATACCGTTCCAGCACGAGTTGACCTCGAAAGGTCTGCCTTCTCGCATAGCCTCAATATCCTGCGTGCGCTTGAAGTAAGGCCATGTACGTTTGAGTGTTTTGGCTTCAGCATCTCTGGTAACCCAAGTGTCGTAGAGGCCGTTGCCAATGAAATCCATGGCACATGCCTGGTCATAATGTGCATTGTTGGTTTGAAGCAGCTGAAGGGCATCTTGAGCACTCAAGATGATGTCGTTGACCCAAAGCACATGGCTGAACTTTTCAGCGCTGTTGTGGTCAAGGAGAGGTTGCATAGCAACGTTTCTGACGCCAGCAAGGAATTCGATGCGATCCTGAACAGCGGAAGACTTGTTCATTCGGACAGCTTGATCATCGGAGAGGATGCGACGCGGGACATGCATGTGAGCAAGATCCGTCTCGAGTTGGGCTAGCATGGGCTTGGTTTGGTCGGTTGAATGTGATTCATAGATCGAAACAAAGACATTGTCTGGTCCAAGATGATTGATGAGCTTCTTGAGTGAAGACATGTATGTCGGCAAGATCTCTTGGTTGTTGTAGAGGTTCGAGGCGATGAAGACCTTGAATGGTTGTCGAGACGCCAAACTAGCTGGCATGGAGGCTTTGATGAGAGACGTCACATCGTCGAGATCTGAGCCGGAACCAGAAGGGAAGATGGGGCGGAAGAAGATCCACTCAACGATGGCGAGAAACCAGATGACAGCAAAGAGGTACTGAGCACATTTGGCGGCAGTCTCTAGGCGAGCCGGACGACACGATCGCCTTCTCCTCGCACTCGTGGTTGTTGATGCAGTCGTGACCGGTGGAGGGCTTGGACTGCGACTGACGATGCTAGAGGAGAAGAAAGATGCCTGCTCCGACAGGGGCGTTGAGTTGGGAGTAAACTCGAGCAGCTGGAGCTTGTAGTTGTATGAATTGGACTTGACCAGCAAGAGCGAAAGGGAGAGGAGAGGAAAGGCGACGACGAGTAGGGTCAAGTACAAAAAAAGAGTGGTGAAGGAATTGTAATGGACGCAGGCAGCAATAAAGGTCACTATGGTGATGACAAGGTTGGCGATGAGGAGGACTGGTAGCCAAGCTTTACGCGAGCGCGATGTCAAAGTTGGTGCCGACATGGGTGCTGTGGTGGATCTGGGCAATGTCGAATGGATGAGGCATGCGATGTAGCAAGCAGAGCGTGAGAGCAAAAGGGTTAGGGTGGCCAACACAGTGCGAGCCCAATGGAGAGGAAAGCGACAGGCGGCAAGCAAAGTGTTAGATTCGTTCGTCAAACAAGGGCGCCGCGCGTGGCGGTGTTGCAGAGTAGACTGGCACTGTGGTGGCATGCGTGTTGTGCCTTCTTTCTGAGATCAATTCTTCCGCTGTCATTTATTATTAACACGTTCCATATTTTTCTTGCCGCGATTTCATTTTTATTTTTATTTATTTTTCTATCCAGGAGACATTGTGCTGTCGACTTCTACCCTCTCATCCACTCGATGAATTCGACTTTGTCCTCCCGTCAGCTGCAAAGACGATCCTATCGCACCTACATGGCCCTGGACATTATGGTATCACATATGCCCTCTCCTCCCTACTTCCACCTCTGATCGCTTATACGTGATCGTAGTGGCCTCCGGCCATTGCAACGTCACCCTATGGTCAAAGCGTGTCAACGGTCGGAAAATGATTTGGTATAGAGTAGGGCATTTACGCGAGAGAATCAAAAAGGTTCCATTTCGGCCTAACCTTTTGGACCTCGCCGACGCGCTCGCCTAATTTTAGCTCAAACGGTGGGGATCAAGATTGGATCATCGGGAAGCAGACAAAGCTGTTACCCGTAGATGGTGTAACACTTCCCCTTGGGCGATATCGAATTACCGGAATCTGAAGACAGCTCTGCCAGAGTGGAGGCAAAAATGCACGAGCTTTTTTTCGGTTGCAGATGCGACGCGCCTGACGATCGTTACGACTGTCGTGTTGCCAAAAGGCTTCACTTAAGCCTGCAGATCAATCTATCGGCCTGATACACTTCCAACGTGGAGCCTTGTCAAGTGCCTGAAACCTAATCTTCTGTCCCCATCTAGCTTTGCGAGGCGTCGCCATCCATCTTCGCGAATCATCCCCTCCAGAACGTGCTTGTCGCGCGATTGTCACTTGATTAAGAACGTGATGATGAGAGCTGTAAGCAAATGTCAAAAGTGCTCGTGGAAGGAAGCGCAAGTTGACATCATAGCGTAGCGGGGACAGCTGCTTTCTTGTCGCTCTATGCAGGCTGCTGCAGTTCAAGCTCTTCATCTCTACCCTCAACAATCCAGACTACTCTTGTCCGGCGTTTTCTCACTCTACTGTAACTATTCCATCCGATCCGACTCCCGTCATCGTTAGTGCCAGCCTCTTCTCCTCTTGTAGCCACATCTCACCTTTCTCGAGCGTCAATCCATTTTGCGCGTCCATTGTCTGCCTGCCCATTTAGCCGAGCCCTGTCTCATCTAATCTTGGTCTCCCCTTCTCACCTATTCACCATTCACAGAATCACTTCTAAGCCCGCCTAGTCGTAGCATGTATGTTTTGTGTCTTGCACCGCATACAAGACATTTTGCAAGGGGAAAAAGCATGAGTCTCTATGAGCCTGAGCTTGAGCCAACGTGCAGCTCATGGAAGCGGAGCAGGATCCGCAGTTGCTTGTCGTTTACCGCATCCAGCACTCCACTCGAACGAATTCAGCTTTCCTTCTTGCCCAACCTTTCAGATGCTGTGGAATCGCATGTTCTCCTTGGTCCTTACTTCATCCCCTGCCCGCCTCTTCTGCTCTTGCTCCTCGGCTGTCGGACTTGTCTTTTAACTTATCCACTTCTCCTCCCTTCCTTCCAGCCTTCTCCCAAGCCCCACCGTAGTTCAGGAAACTTAAAGGGTTTGATTGCGTGAGACAGTTCTTCCACTCATCCGCGGCAATTTCAGTCTCTGGCCTACCGAAGTTGACTTGTTTGCCTGCCTGTGCTGGAGGCTTGATCCTTCATTTCCATCTGCTTCCGCTTTGCTGCTTCGCTGGTCACAGTCCACTTTCATCATATACCCATCCCTCAGAGCTCACCGGTCCTTGTCCCACTCATACCCTAACTTCCGGCCAGCCCTCTCCTTCCCATCCGGCTTTCGACTGCCACCACCATCCATTAGATTCATTTGTCCCCTTCAATTCACCTCGTCGGTCCCACTTGCAACCTCTCCATCAGCCGCCTCGACGTGGCCGTACCCTCCTACTTCTCCCCGGTCCTCCTCCATCGACGACTCCCGTTCGTATTGGCCTATTCGCATCTTCTCCTCTCCAATTTGCACACTGTTAGAAACACTGGTAGTAGAAGTCACCGATCGGATCCTATAGAAATGTCGAGTCTCTTTTCATCCATCCCGGCTCCGCAGGCGCTGCTTGCACCTCTCGCTCGCCCAACAGCTGCTATCGCTCGTTCTTCCATCCTCTCGCTCTTCTTCAAGCTCACTGTCGGCCAACTCGAGCTCCGTACCCAAGACGGCCAAGTTCACCGCTTCGGCGACCCCACACTCGTCAAGAGCAAGCAGCACAACCATGAGCCCTCTGTTGCTTCGAACAAGTCCAAATCTGTTGCTGCTGCCAGCGCTGAACTCGCCAACAACTCCGCCAAAGCTCCTCATGCTATCATCATTGTCAGGAACGAATCCTTCTGGACTCGCATGTTTTTCGGTGCCGATTTGGGTTTCGCCGAAGCCTACATGATTGGCGATGTTGACACACCCGATCTTGCTGCCTGTTTTGACCTGTTCATCCTCAACCGCGCTAGTTTGAGCAACTTGGAAAGCATCAGTTTTGCCAGCTCTCTCATCTCTTCCGCCCAGACCATCCTCAACAAGCGCTACGCCAACACCAAGGTCGGCAGTTTGCGCAACATTGGCGCTCACTACGATATCAGCAACACCATGTACAAGGCCTTCTTGAGCAAGGACATGACCTACTCGTGTGCCGTGTTCGATACTCTCGATGCCGACGTTTCTGGTCCCTTGCTTAACCAGCTCAACCAGAAGACTCGGGCGGCGTTGGGCACTGCGGCGAACGTCCATGTGAACGCTGGGGCTGCCAATGGCGTCTTTAAGCCTCTCGGGCTCACTGCTGATCCATCTGCTACTGCCTCGGCGAAGAGCAACTCGACCACAGTGGACAGGTCAGGCGATCTCCCCACACCTCCCTCGGAGACAGAAGGTGGAGCCACTGAATACGATGAGCTCGAAGAAGCGCAAAAGAACAAGTTACGGCTCATTATCAAGCTTGCCAACATCCGCCCTGGCGACCGTGTTCTCGAAATCGGTACCGGTTGGGGTTCGTTTGCCATGGAAGCAGTCCGTACGACCGGTTGCAAAGTCGACAGTGTCACTCTATCCGTCGAGCAGAAGGCACTTGCCGAGCAACGCATTGCCGCAGCAAAAATGGAATTCAAGATCAAAGTTCACCTTATGGACTATCGCGACTTCCCCGCTAGCTGGACCGACAGCTTCGACCGCGTTTGCTCGATCGAAATGCTCGAAGCTGTCGGAATCGAGTTCCTGCCCACCTACTTCAGCTGCGTCGACCGCGTGTTGAAGCGCAACGGCGGTGTCGCAGTCTTCCAGTGCATCACTATGCCTGAAAATCGTGCAGAGGCTTACTACAAGGGCGTCGATTTCATCAAGAAGTGGATCTTCCCTGGTGGTGTTCTTCCTTCCGTCACCTCGCTCGTCAACGGTGCCACCGACGGCTCCAACGGAAACCTCATCCTCGATACCCTCGTCAGCATCGGTCCTCACTACGCGAGGACTTTGCGAGAATGGAAGAATCGTTTCGAAGCCAATTTTGACAAAGTCATTAGGCCAGCTCTCCTTCGAGACCACAACGAGATCAGCAGATTGCCCGAAGCACAGAAGCAGAAGGAGGTCGAGGTCTTCCGCAGGAAATGGATCTACTATTTTGTTTACTGCGAGGTCGGTTTCACGCATCGTGTGATCAACGATCACATCCTTGCCTTCACCAGGGAAAACAATACCACACTTCCCGTTTGCTCTGGTTAATCGCCAAGCCCTTCCTTTCCTTTCACATTTGTCAAGTAGCTCATTGGCTTCTCCTGTAGAAAGACATCACAGTCCTAATATAGTAATCGTTAAGTAGAAAATGTACACATTAGGTGGATATTGATTAAAGGGCCGCGTGATGCAAGCTGTCTACCGAAGCTTGAAGGAGGAAGAAGGGGGTATTTTGGGGATTTTGACAAGTGAACACAAGTACAAAAATGAAGTGTGATACGGAAGGTAAGATGACGACCAAATCAGGCGGAGCTCGAGATTAGGACAATCGATGACAAGCTCGATCACGACAGGTAGGGTCTAGGCTGCGACGCAGGATGCGAACTGCCACCGAAAGTTCCTCGACCAATCTGACTCGGGTCCACCCTTGAACTTGCCATCTCTGCTTTGCTTGGTCGACCCCTTTTGTTCTTTTGGATCTCTGGAGACACACCAGCACCTACTGTCCTGGGTGGCAAGGGCGCCTTGTTCGGCTCCGGATGGCCAAGGTATTGCTCGGAGTGGCTGATCGGCATTCCTAGATGCGGTCTACGAGTGTTATAAGCAGGCTCGGCGGGCGACATGGCCGAATCTCGCATGTGCATCGGAGGTCCAGGTCGACGGAACTCTTCGTGCATGCCACCTGGCCCGGTGGACAGGGGAGTCGGTGCAATTGCGCCGCCTCGTGGTCCACTGGGTCCACCACTACTGCTGAAGGCACTCAGCCGACGACGCTCGCTGAAAGACATTCGAGGTTCGTTGGATTGTTGGCCTGCAGGAGGCTCGTAACGACCCTCTAGCAACTCATGCCGCTCGCCGAAATGTTGGTGTGGTCGCTGAGCTCGACCACCTTGTGGCTCACCTTGCCACGAGGTGGGCCTGCGAGCTGCTTCGGATGTGTGTGAAGACCGACGTTTGTGAGGCGGACGATCCCTGTATGTACTTTGAGGAGGGACGTCAGCTTCCCATCGGCCAGCACCAAAGACATTAGACGAGACGCTGGGACCTGAGCCCGGAGCAGCCGACCGTCCATCCCATGGATGAGGAGCCGGCATGCCCTGCTGCGCGAACTGCCTTGCTTCGTTTCGCGGTGGATGACGGGGAGACATGGGTCCAGCTCCAACAAAGTAGTCGCCTGAAGGTGCTCCACCAGCCAACTCGCTCTCCGACGAGGAAGGTCCGTGACGAGGTTGCCTGTCGAGGCTCGCTGGATCCCTCGCAGAAGCCGAGAACGGACGAGCCTTTGCAGCAGCCGGCTCAACACTTGCGCTTGCGAGGCCAGTAGCGCCCATGTGAGCTCCAACTGGCGACGTAGTCAGATCGGCAGGGTCTCGAGATAGCAGGTGTCGGATCCAGAGATCTTGATTCCGGATGCGGTCTTCCATCTCCTTGATGCGACCGAAGAGATCCTGATTCTGTAAGAAGAGCTCGCGCGTCTGCTCGGTGAGATCGTTGCGCACGGACGGCATGATGCTCGAGAGGATATCGTCGCGAAGATGGTTGCGTAGAATGTCAAAGAGACCTGGAGGAAGCACAGCAAGGCCATTGCGACCGACTTGAGCGATGTTGGACTTTTTCGATGACGCCGCTTCGTCTGCATCGGCCTTCTTCTTGCTGCCTTGCGGTGGGGCACTTGGAGCATCAGCATCGCCACCCGTCGCTGCATCGCCAGCGCCGGCGTCTTCGTCGTCGCTATCTTCGTCAGTCGATGAACGCGTCAGGCTACGTCGACTCGAGCTGTCTCGTCGGTGAGTGGATCGATCGTCGCCGGCATCCTCAGCCGCAGAAGCTTTGGCCGATCGTTGTGAGAGCTCGTGTGCGATGGATCTCGCCTTGGCTTGATGCTCGGGACCATAGACACCGTGGAAGATCTTGTGGTACTCGTCCATCAGAGGCTTCTTTGCCAACTTGACTGGCACTTGACGACGGGCACAGTACTCCTCCCAGTCGCTGTAGAGAGCTTCGACACTTTGTCGCATGTTTTCAGCTGTCATAGCCTCTGGGTGATGCTTATAGATCAAGTCGAGGAACGTGTCGATCTCGTCCATTGCCAGTACACGTTCAGATGGCCGGTTTGAATCTTCTGTTGGGTCTGGACGGTCAGCAGAGGGTGCTGAGACGCGCGTTCTTGGCGATGATGACCGGCTTCGAGCTTCTTTTGGATCCATATGACCAGAACGTGACCTTGCTGCAGGTGACGTCTCCGCGTCCGCCCGTTTGGATCTTTTGGGGCTCGGTGCACTAGGAACGGCTTTGGTGTCTTTGCGCTTGGACATGGCGAGGCGACGGTCCTGCAGTGGATTGCGGCTATCGAGCGAGGCATTCGAAGTTTCATCACTGAGTTCATCCTCCTCGGCGGATTCCTGGCCAACGGCACTGGTGTATCGCTGTGGAGGGGACTCCCATGGTCTTTTGATAGGTGTTCGAGGTGAGGATGGGCCGGCAGCAGCAAAGCGTTTCGATGCTGCGGAAGCAGGGCTGGTAGCAGAAGGAGTGTCGACGTTTGGAGACCATGTTTGGGAAGTCGAACGATGCTGGGAGTGAGCTTGCTGTTGTCGATCAGCCTCGCTAAAGGTTCTAGCGGGCATGTCCGACATAGCCAAGAAGGTACAGGACAAAGAGGCAGCCTGATTGCCCTTGCGAGCGTAGAGATATCTCTGCGGCTAAAGCTGAGTATGAGCGAGGAAGCGATGATGCATGTACGAAACCCGAGGAATGGACTGGAAGGCTTTGGTGGACTAATCCTCTTCGAAGACAGCGTTGAAGTGATGAGTTGGAGCAACAGAGTGCGACCTAAAGCAATGAAAAGTGGCCGTACGTCGAAACACAGGATCTGGTGAAGTAAAGCAAGGGCAGAGTACAGGCAATAAAGAAAGAGCGACCAACGGTTGAAAAGGGAGATGTCAGGGGGAAAGGATGGTTGAAAAGGGGGAAGGGACTAGGGAGGAGTGACCGAATGAAGAGAGGAGGGGGGGGAGCAGGGGAGCAGGGGAGCAGGGGAGCAGGGGAGCAGGGGAGCAGGGGACAGTGACGGGAGGATAGAGGAGCGCCCGCCAAGTTCTGAGCACGGTTCCGGCTTCTTATACAGAGAGTCGACGTGTGCCAAAGAAAGTTCTGCGTCGCAGCTTCTGCAGCCGTAAGCACGTAGCCTACCAAATGACGCTGGAGTGCGGCAATGATGCGGGCAGACAGTGCGGGCGTAAGAAGGCCGCTTCACCCACGGAAGTGGCGCTGCGCCGTAAGTATGGGCTGCGAAGGAGGGCGGGTGGATATGAAGTGACGCAAGACGACGCTTTAAGCAGCTGCAGAGGGGGAAAGGGCTCTGAGCTCGAAGTAAAGAGGTGGCGGCGCTTTCACCGCCGGCACAGTGGCTTTCAAGAATGAACGAAGAAGCTGTTGCTGAAGTTTCTTGACACCGAACGTTCAAGAAATGCACTGTGATGTCGAGACAATACTTCCCGTAGCTCTGCCGTAGGTCATATCCACTAATGAAGAGGGCGCAAGTAGACTGCCGATGCTGACTTGTCGCATGTAATTAATACCTCGTGGGATCAAGATGAAGGCTGTCCGGCGCCGAGCTGCAGATAGCGGGTGGCAGATCAAAGGTAGCTGCAGGCAGATGAGGTGCAAAAGTCTAGAGGCAGGTTTCAGACGGCGAGGAGGAGACTGGTTTCCGTAGGGCTGAGGAGTGGGTTGGCGGCACCCTTGCAGAGGCCAGACTGGGCGGGCAGAAAGCTTCGTAAGTGCTTAATGGGCTGGCACGCGTTCTTTCGAGGATGCAGGAGACAAGGTGGGATGGCGATATGACCGAAGCGCGCCCGCAGAAGTGGAGAGCAAGGGCGGTGCGGGTGCTGCAAGAGCTGTGAGAATGCCCAAGGACAGCCTATAAATGAACTCGAAAGGAGGGCTGGACTAGGCTGTGAAAGAGCAATCGACGTTAGATGTATGAAGTCGAGATTGAGGTTGCAAGAGCTGAGCGTGATCGATACAGTCAAGCTATACGAAGCGACCGGATAGCGCAAGTTGCATGTGCTCGAAGCTCCGCTTCGGGTTGGAGGAAGAAAAGAAGAGGGAGGCGGTGAAAGCAGGCGTGCCGAAAGGGTCCGATGGTTGACAAGTCGTAGTAGGAGAGGTGGAGAAGGGATTGGTGGTGGTGATGATGGTGATGGCGAGAGAGCAAGCGTTCTACTGGTGATCTTGGGAAGGGAAGTCGGAGGGCTGCAGACCTGAACACAGTGTCTGGCTCATTCCGAACAGGGGCTTGAGGAGTGCTTCTTGGTATGGCCGAATGTCGGGGTCAGTTCAGTGGACAAGGCGATTCGCTGCATGGCATGGCAATCTGAGCAGCTGAGCATCCAAAATGCAGACGGAAGCGACAGAAGCTCAAACCCGGGTGCTGTCAATGAACCTGCAAATAAGTGCGGACGAAGGCTGCAAAGCTAGTCGGCTAGAGAGGAGTAGAGATGGGGAGCAGAGGGAAAGGTGGAGCGGAAGGGCGTCGAAGCAAAGGAGCAGAGAAGGGGGATAGCGGAAGTCAGAGGTGAGCCAAACGGTCGGGTAGCATCCTGAGAGTACGAGGCAGGCAGAGGAGTAGAATCAGGAGCAGGTGGAGTAGCTACGTCAATCTTGAAGGAGAAAGACAAGGAGGACGCAATAGCGGCGTAGTATGTTGCACACATGCAGCGCTCGGAACACATAGCCAAGATTGAGGATAGCACTAAGCTATCACTTGGGTGGGACGTGGGATTACGCTGGGTGTGATGCTTCTGCTGCTAGAAGGCTATTGGCACGGCACACTGATTCCAGCTAACCAGGAAAAAGGCAAATAGTGAGCGGCACCGTCACAGCGGTGTGGACACCGAAAGAGATGAGGAAGAGCTAGTGAGCGAGTGTGCGAGTGTGCAGGCAGGCGGGAGGGGCGGCAAGGGACGTCCATTCATTCACTCATTCATTCATTCATTCTTCCACCAAGCAATCAAACAATCAATCCATCAATCAGACAAGGGACGTATGCACTGTACATCTTAAGCGAAGGTCCAAGAAACAAGGGTGTTGCAGATGAGCGGAAAGGGGGCGTTCAAGGTGGCATCAGAGCCGTCTAGGCAGAGTTACGGGACAACACCCAAAAATAAGGGTCGAGGCTGTCCTTTATGGTAAGATGGCACGCTGGTAACCGGCAAACACACACCTGCAGAAGAAAATATCCTGCGACTTGGGCTGCAGCTCACAGATGAGAAGACGCAATGCGAGATTGCGGCGAGTGTAGCTTGCGGCTTCGAGGATTGTGAGCTCCTGCGAATCGGCTTTCAACATGTTTTGCGAGGATTCCTGCTCACCCTGCTTGTTGGAAAACAGTCACTCGACGCAATTCACCCAAGGTCGCTCAGAAAGAGCTCACTCGACACATCTTACTGACTTGAGCCAGAACAGGCTCATTCAGCAGATTTCGGGTTTCGGGCGCGCGACCAATGTCACAAGTACCTCCAGGAGCAGATCTGGGTTGCTCAACGCCAGACGGTGGATCAGTACAATCACAAGCGCAAAGACATCCAGTTCAACGTCGGCGATCTAGTCTACATTAACCGCAAGAACTGGAAGACAAGGAGACCCACTCCCAAACTGGACACTAGGTTTGCAGGTCCATATCCAATCAAGGAACGAATTGGCAGGAGGGTGTATCACATCACTCTGCCTGCAAACCTCAAGAGTCCACGACGTCTTCCATGTCTCAATGCTCGAAGCAGCCAAGACAAGTTCGCTCTCACAGCGCTCCCTTTTACTAGCGGAGCCACCACTGCGAGATGAAGAGCTCAAGTTCAAAGTAGAAGCCATCGTTGGTAAGTGCACAGGCAACCATGAGCCCGAATACAAGGTGCTCTGTGTCAGCGGTCGCGCTCCTGAAACCCGAAATCTGCTGGTTGAGCTTGTTCCGGCTCAAGTCAGTAAGATGTGTCGAGTGAGCTCTTTCCCACCGACCTTTGGTGAATTGCGTCGAGTTTCCAATGGATTTCAGCTGACCATTGTGAACACTCCATTCAGAGGTAGTGCGGCACGTTCGCAGTCCCTGGATATTTGAGTTGATATGTGATATGACTATACTAGATGTGTGGTATGACTACGCCTATCTTAGCACGAGTGTTCGTGATATGTCAACAGTTGTATGATGGTACTGGTTGAGGTGCCAGGACGGCAGTGGAGGTGCTGCAACAGGCAGGGTGAGCAGGAATCCTCACAAAACATGTTGAAAGCCGATTCGCAGGAGCTCACAATCCTCGAAGCCGCAAGCTACACTCGCTGGTCAAAGTTGGAGTTGCGTCCACGTTGTTGTGCCCACTCGACGTCGAGATTGAGTGACTTAGACGAGATCAGGCTTCTACTCCACTGCAGCGGAACGGCTGATAGACGAGGTGCCAAGCAACTCGCTAGAGTGTTGTGGTCGAGCAAAGCGTGGGTAGCACCCGCAACATATGCATTGGCGAGTTCGAGTTTCTCAACCTCGCCAACTCATGAGCCAGCATATGCGCACACCCACACCCACACCCACACGCACACACATCACTTCTGCATGAACTGATACCAACAAGCGAAAAACCTTGTATGCGCTTGTTACAACAGGCGAGCCGCAGAGGCACTCAGACTTTCTTTTCCTCCTCTAACTCTGACTTCTTCAACTATGTTGTAATGATGAGAAGCGGACACCAGTTCACGAACAATCCATCATTACGGCAGCTTGCCGGTAGGCACTTGCATCTGCGAAAGTGTCAAGGATGTGTGGAAGGGCTCAAAAGAGGTTGAATAGCCGACGGCAGAACTGTCATCACCAACAATCACATCCGGTTAAAATCGACATCGAACTGTTCAGTGCGTTTGTGGCTGTCTTGCTCATTTGCAGCGGAAGTGACCTTACCTTACATCCCTGTGCGATAGCCTTTTAGCGAGAGGGGCTAGCCGCACATCCGCAAGGGGTATTGCCTCCGGCCAAAACTGCTAACGTTACCCGAATGTGACATCTCAGTGGAGTCACCACACACATACACACAACATACGAGCTAACAACAATCTCACAACGCCACAACCCTGTATTGCACCTAGGTGCGTGTAACATTGTTGTCATCTACCTCGGAACAATTGACATTGTTCTCATCTATACCTGTGTTCTCTGCTTCAACTTGACCAATCCAGCTCGCTATTGCTGCATCCGAAGCGACGAAACAAAAGATCGAGGTCGGAGTCCGGGCCTGGAACATCCGCCATCGTCCTTGGACCTGCAACTCTAAGCAAAGTCGTTGCATGGGCCGCCACTTTGTGGCTTGTCAGTCCAGCGATGCGCACCAAGGAGCAGCTCGGCCAGAGAAGTCTCTCGCTTGCAGTTCTGAAGCAGGCTTCCAAAAGTGAGTCTCGGGATCGAGATCATTCTTCCTTTTTGAGCTATAATCGGATGCCGTCTCTGCATTTAGAAGCCACGAGGTCTTCAGACTTGCTCGCAGCGATAGACTTATGATAAAGCTCAGCCACGCTGATAGAACAGTGAAGATGGCAACGCTTCTTACAGCCAAGACCTTGATCAACCCCCAAAGCAGCTGCTTGACCCCCTCTGAGCTTCGAAATTGTGTTTTCTTCTTTGGTCTCTGTTGAAAGATTTGACTCTTATCGACGATTATCGGGCGATGTCAATCCAAGCACAGTGTTCACGCTATTGAGCTAAACACTATACTATATTGACGTGAAGGAAGAACTTAGCGGTAGCCTTGGGCTCTCCGCTAAATGTCTATATACAGTAGTGGTACATGAGCGAGAGTAGGGAGCATTCCACCTAATGTCGAACTATGTCAACGAGCGGGACTCAGTTGTCCCCGATCCCTGCTACATCGGCTCCCCCTGAATATGCGATCAGATCTGCTTTCCCGATTGAATTCCAGATCGATTCTGCCCGATCCACCGTCATTTACCTTAGTTGAGGATTACAAAGCCCATTGCACTGTCTTGAGCTACAAGCAAGCTCTTGACACAGGCATATGACTTATCAAAAATGCTATTGTTTCTATTGATGGATGCCATGTATGTGAACATATATATACTTGATTGTCACCTTCAGTGCATGCTGGATTGTAATGAGCTACTTCTCATATCACCCCTGAGTTGTTGCCTCCTGAATGTTGTTGTGGCAACACTTATACATCCCACATGCATATTGTCTATATGCAGCTCCACTTTATCAATGTCTTGCTTGTGCTCCATGGACCCTGTGAATCCTGTTGGGATGCCAATGCATCTTCAACTCCCCCCTTTGACAGCATTGTCAACCCTATCAAATGGGCTAGCTGGGACATAGCTAATCCCTTTAAGGGTTTTGTGAGGATATCTGCAATGTTATCTGCTGTCCCAACAAAATTGATTGTGATCTCTCCCTCCTGAACATGATCTCTGACAAAATGGTACCTAGTGTCTATGTGCTTCAGCTTCCAATGCTTAGCAGGGTCTTTACTCACCTGAATGCATCCTTGGCTGTCTGTCCATAGTGTTGGATGAGGGGCTTCAACTTCCAGGTCCCTGAGGAGATATGAGAAGAAGAGAGCCTCTCTTGCTGTCTCCAAGGCAGCAATGAACTTGGCTTCTACCACTGACAATGCCACACACTTTTGAACATGTGATCTCCAGCTAACTGGGCACCCATATATGTATGTCACCACTCCTGATGTGCTTCTTCGTCCATTTATTGGGTCTGATGCCCAGTTTGCATCAGTGTATGTGACAATTTGCTGTCCTGAGTGTTTGTTTGACTTGTCCCCAAAAACTAGTTTGTACTCACTAGTTTGGTTAAGGTACTTCACCAAGTGGATGGCTGCTTTCCATGCATTATTTGTTGGGCTCAACATATATCTTGCCAGTGTTCCTACAGTGAATGATATGTCAGGTTGTGTGGTGTTAGATACCCATAAAAGCTGCCCTACCAGTTCTTGGTATCACTTCACCACTGATGGATTGCACTTGTCATCCCCCATAACACTTGTTAATCTCTGCATTGGTACCCAGGACTTCTGGTTGGTTGTCTGTAACCATCTGTTCACCATTGCTTTGATGTAGGCTGTCAAATCAAGTGACATTCTCTTCTGTGCCCTGTCTCAATTGATACTGATGCCTAGGAATTCCTTCACAGGTCCATTATCCTCTGTTCCCCATTTGGCCATTATTTCTGTCTTGGTGTGATTTACTTCCTCATGACTGGGTGATGCTATGAGCATGTCATCTATGTATGCCATAATGATAGTCATGCTTCTGCTAGTTCCTCTTGAGTATAGGCATGGCATGCTTGGCATGTAATGAAAACCTATTCTTCGCAGGTGTGAATCCAGCTCTATATTCCATTCTCAGCCTGATTGCTTTAGTCCATATAGTCCTTTCACCAGCTTTAGGGCCTTTCCAGGGGGAATCTTCATTCCAAGCAGCAGTTTTAAATAGACATCATGATGCAATGTTGAGTTCAGATATGCTTGTTTAACATCAATACAATCCACTTCCCAATCTTGCACAGTTGCTACAGCCAAGACTCCTCAAATTGATTGAATGGGTGCCACAGGGGCAAAAACCTCTGTATAGTCAATGCCTTCCCTTTGGGTGAAGCCTCATGCCACTAATCTTGCTTTAAACTTTGTGGGGATTAAGTTTGCATCCATCTTGTTCTTTAAGACCCAACATGTGTTGATGGTGTTCATATCCTGGGGGAGGTCAGCAATCTCCCATGTGCCCATAGCTTTAAGTCCATCCAGTTCTTTGTGCATTGCCTCCTCCCAGTGCTTCTTATCCTCTCCAGATAGTGCCTTGCTAACAGTTGGATCCAGGTTCTTTCTTTTGTTATCATCAATTGCTGTAAATCCAAAATGGGTACTATAGGCCCATGTTTTGGCATCAGTTCTGTATTCAATCATCTTTTCAACATCTTTGCTTGAGGTCTGTTCCTTGTCCATTTCATCAATTGTCTCCATATCTATGTATTCACTCAGTGGCTCCTCTTCTCTTTCATCAAAGAGGTTCTCATCTGTGTATCTTAAATCATTGAGTTCTCCTTCATTGGCTAATGCTGGTGGTGGCTGAGCACTCACTGGTTGCCACTCTGTTTTATTGGACCAGCATTTAGTCTCCATGAATCTAACTGAGTTACTCCAGAATATGTTTGGGCTGTAATCTGGGCTATAGAAATGCCATCCTCTCCTCTCCAGACTGTACCCCAGGAATATGGATGCTATGGCCCATTGGTCTAGCTTCTTATTGTCTCTTTTAGCTTTTGGGATGTTTACCCATGATAGACATCCAAACACATGTAAGAGCTTCATGAGCCACTTCAGTGACTTCCCAAACATAGCCTGATATGGGAACTTGCTGTCCACACTTGGGGTGAGATTCATTTTGAATGCTGCAGCCCAGATTGCATAAGGCCAGAATCTCTTCTGCAGCCTCCTCTGCATAAGCAGTGCTCACATCTTCTCACCCAGACTCCTGTTCATCCTCTCCACATGTCTGTTCTGTCTACTATCATAACCTACTGTCACCTGCCATTCTATACCTTTATCATGTGTCCATTCAAGGGTGTCATTGCTCCTCCATTCAGTACCTTGATCAGATTGTATCACTTTTAAGCTCTTTCCTGTCTGTGTCTCAAGGTATGATACTATTGTCTTGAGCTTTTGAAAAGCATGGCTCTTTCATATCAAAGGTTGCACATACACATACTTGCTGTGGTCATCAACCAGCACCAATGTGCACATGTGTTCTGTTGCATGTGATGAGTCAACTATCAAGTCAATGTGGATAAGATCAAGTGGAGAAATGGACCTCTCTCTACTACCTTGCCCCATCCAGGCTGCTGTACTTTTGGATCAGATGCATTGCTCACATGTCAAAGCAGCATTTGGGTTCAAGTTTACTGGGTTATTGCCCTTTAAATGGTTGATGATGGCTCTTGTCTTGTCTCAGCCTGGATGCCCTAGATGCTCATGCCATAGTTGTTGTTCAGATATCTCGATCTTGCTCTCAACCCACTCAAAATCTTCATCAACACCTTCAAATAGTGATGTTGATGTGATCATTGCATTTTCCTGCCATGTGTCACCTTGGAGCTCCAGAAGCCCTTGCTTGCAATTCTTGGCCATCTTGAGTAGCATGCTGTTTGCTAAATGTATCTGCCTGCTGGTTGAGTCTAGTGTCACTCATGCTCCTTCATCTGTCAGGGAATTAGTTGACAATAGATTGACATTGAGATGCTGAACATACAATACATTCTGGAGAAACACATCTCCATGGTTTGTTGATATGTTGGCATCTCCTATAGCTGTCACTTCTAGAACCTTGCTTCTGGCAGTGAATACATGCTTTTGGCAGGTTCTAGGACTAATGAGCATGCTATAGTTGTTGACCATGTGGTAGCTGGCCCCTGAGTCTAAGATCCAATGAAATGTTTCTTTCGAGTCTAGGGGCCTCTGCCAACTTGGTGTAAAGGAGCACCAGATTTCCTATTTGGACTTGGTGAGGGAAGAGTTTTCAGGTATGGTTACCAAGGCATCACACTGACTGATTCTATGTCCAGGTTGCTTACAGATCCAGCATCAGATCCTTCAGGGTCTAGCAGCAACCTTGGCACTGGTGCAGTCAGCATCCTTCTTGTCTTTCTCATCCTTTTCAGATGATTCATCCTGGTCATTGCTGCTGGTGACTCTGGTGCTGGCTTGGTGGGGATCAACCCTCTGAGAAGGGTTATTCTCAATCACCAACTGCCAGGTGGTTAAGGCAGTGGCAAGAGCACTGAAGGTGAGCTGGCTAACAGTGGCAACAGTCTCTTTATACATTGGGTGGCAAATAGTGCACTTCTGTAAGTTAGAGAACAGGGTGTCATCAGCAAATGGTTTTCCCAGTAGGCTGCTCTCCATCTGAATGGACCTGATTTCCTGGATGAGTTTTTGGGCATCAGAGTTGAACATCCTAAGCTCACCTAACTGAGCAATGAGTGCAATATGATGAGATGTGGCAGTGGCTTCATTGGTGAGTCCATTCTCAATCTTCTTCCAGACATGATGGAACATATGGTGCTCCCTGATGATGTCGAGGATCAAGTAATTGACATTGTATTCCCCAGTGGTATCAATAGTACTGCACAATGCATTTGTCAAGGCATCATCAAATGTGCAGTTCCACTTGGGATGTTTCTTGTCATACACTCCATCGAGGTGTTTCATGGCATGGGGGACACATCAGAGGAAAGACTTGATGTGGGCATTCCAACTGTAATAGTTGTGCAATGTAAGTTTAGGCACTGGCTCAAGTAGCTTTGCCAAGGTGCAAAAGTTGTATTGCTTGCCACCATTGTCAAGGTCTGAGTTGGAATCAGTTTCTTCATCAGCATCATCATCAATCACCTTGGTCTCTGTCTCATTGATGGCCTTGTTATTGGTGGCTCATGGTTGTGCAGCCTTACCCTTTCTACCTCCTTTGGCCCTGCTTGCAACAGCTTGAGTTTTGGTTTCTTCTACCATATTGTCAATGGGTCCCTTGGCTCAGTTGGTGGAGCCTCAGACTCTTAATCAGTTGAGGATTACAAAGCCCATTGCACTGTCTTGAGCTACAAGCAAGCTCTTGACACAGGCATATGACTTATCAAAAATGCTATTGTTTCTATTGATGGATGCCATGTATGTGAACATATATATACTTGATTGCCACCTTCAGTGCATGCTGGATTGTAATGAGCTACTTCTCATATCACCCCTGAGTTGTTGCCTCCTGAATGTTGTCATGGCAATGCTTATACATCCCACATGCATATCATCTATATGCAGCTCCACTTTATCAATGTCTTGCTTGTGCTCTGCGGACCCCGTGAATCCCGTTGGGATGCCGACGCATCTTCAACTACCTTCCTGCTGGATCGTTATCTTTAGCAGTCTCAGCTTGCGACGCCCAGGGCGAAAAAGCGCGTTCCAAGATTCATTTGAATTTGCGCACGGTGCAACTGCAACTGCGCAGCAGCAACACTCCACATTCGACTTTTTTGACACACGACGCCATCTGCTCAACTTCTTAATCTTCATTCGTCTTCTCGCCTCACACTTTACCTCTCATTGGCGCCTATCAACACTCCAGGACCGAATGAACACGAAGCCTGCCTCGTCACACCACAAAGATAGCTCAACTGAGTACGGTCCAGCAAGGTACTGTACAGACACAGCGTGGGGTAGCTGATACGAGAACGTCCCTCGGGACTGAATCAGAATCAAGGGCGTAGCCATGGCGTCCACGCTGGATTCGTTCACAGCACGGCTGCATGATATTGCAACACAACCAAATAATGCTCGACTGGTGGCATACGAGTCACTGATCTCGGATCTGTTGCAACAACCATCTAGCAAACTTAGCAGCAATGACTTGTTGCAAGCCACGTCGGCATATCTACGGCATGCGGTGTTTAGCGAACAGAACTCTACCGGCGGCGGTCTCGTCATCGGAAGGCAAGCTCTAACTGCTCTTGAGCACCATTCGGCTAGATTAGCAGAGGAGTACGAATTGCAAAAACGGGACAAGGACAGGATGCAAGATATTGAGGATGAGTCGATGCCATCCGTCGCTGACCGAGACACACGAAGACAGCTACTCGAGAATGCATTGGAACAGCTACAGCCGAGAACGCTCAGCTTCGAAGAGCAGGCGTCGAGCTTGCGTATGCAATTGGCTAGCTTGCTCGAGGCGGAGGAGGACTGGAAGGAAGCGGCACAGGTCTTGTTGGCGATCCCACTGGACTCGGGACACCGCAACGTTTCAGATCATTTCAAGCTCTCGATCTATGTTCGCATCGCTCGTTTACTACTGGAGGGCGATGATCCGGTGGCAGCAGACGTATACCTCAAACGTGCTAGCATGATCATCCACAACGTTCCCGGCGCTTTGCCTTCACACTACCAGCAACAGCAACAACAGCAACAACAACAACCACAGGTACAAGCATCGGGGTCTTCAACAGCAGCAGCTGATGGCGACGGTACAGACGGCATTGCCGCAACAGGCAGCGGCTCAGCGAGTGCAAGCTCAAGTGGGTCAAGACACAAGCTTGAGGAGCCTAAGGTATTGGGTCTGCAGTATCGACTCTCTCAAGCACGTGTCTACGACTCGCAGCGACGATTCGCAGAGGCAGCCATCCGATATCACGAGCTGAGCTACGTCGCTGAGATTGACGAGGACGACCGTGCAATGATGCTTTCGGCTGCTGTGACGGCGTCCATCCTGTCTCCGGCGGGACCTCAGCGAGCACGTACGCTGGCTACACTGATGCGCGACGAGCGCACGCCATCGCTGCCTCAGTACACGATTCTGTCCAAGGTATTCCTGGACCGAGTCATTCGTCCTGACCAGATTGCTAGCTTCGAAAAGCTGCTCTCGCCGCATCAGATCGCCAGGCTAGCACCATCTTGCGGACCCTCGGCAGCTGCTTCTTCAGCAACGTCTACAGCGGGAAGCACTTCAACCCGACATGCACCATCTACGGTGCTTGACAGGGCCATGATCGAGCACAATGTGCTGAGTGCATCGAGGCTGTACGATAACATCACGTTGGCCGGCCTGGGCGCGCTGGTGGACCTGAGCCCCGGAGGTGCAGAAGACATTGCGCGAAAGATGATCATGCAAGGACGGTTGAAAGGATGGATCGATCAGGTAGGTAATGCGGCGAATGCAAACGCAAGAGGAGGGGGCGTGCTGTTCTTTGTGGATCAGGATCGACGTGGAGAAGGCGAAACAACAGCAGGCGGATTGGAAGCCACCAAGGCTGGCGCGGATAGCAGCGGTGGTGATGGTAGCGGTACTGGTGGAGCAGGAGGAGAGGGTGGTGCTGGAAGCGCAGGAGGCGCAGCTGATATTGACACCAAGTGGACACGAAGATGGGATCAGCAGATTGCGCAAGTGACCGGTGCACTCGAGGAAGTTTGTCAGAGGATCAACAAGGTGGCTGGAAGCACTGCTGCAGTTGCCTAGGCCCAAGATAAGCATGCAAGTATCTCACACCGCAATTGATGACGTTGGCATTGACAGCCCTGCTGTTTCTGTATCCTTGTGCTTCACGGAGTGTAGCAAAACTCTGTGCCCAATGATCTGCTGAGTTGGTGGTCGGGGAGTCCACCTCGGTACGCCACGTGACGAAGCACGTCTCGTTTTGGACTGGCACCGAGTGGGCGGAAGATGGACAAACGCTGTACCGCAAACTAAAAGAGCGCGGGGGTTGGAAGGCTGAGAGGCCACCAATCTTGCGAGCTGAGAACTGTGGACAAGTGGGTCTGCTGCTACCGCTCTGTAACTTAGCATAAATTATTGAGCAAAGAAATTGGAGCTCACGAACAACGACATGAAGAGCAGCAGCTTTCCCGCCAAGAAGTTTCGCTTCTTTTTTAGGTCGAGCTGGTAGGCCCCTTTTTATTTATATAATTTCTTTGGCCTCTTGGCCTTACGAGCCTGAGATGGTCTGACCTTGACATCATCTGAGCTTTCGCATATCTGACTGGGAAATCGCACTTTCTCACGCACATGGACTCACTTTCTCTGTTTCTCTGCACATGCGATCGATTCCAGACTGTTGCTGAAAGCGACTCACAGGATCGGGAACCTTTTCGATGGGAAGCTGGACAAGGGCGCAAGTGTGATGCGCAACTGCAGCACAGCTTTTCTTGTCAAGTCCGCTTTTCTAGAATTTGCAACTTGAGTTCACGATGCTGAGGCCGACGCGAGACGCAACTAGTTACTCGCACTCCACTACTGCCATAGCCAAAGCTGGCGAAAAGGCTGAATTGCTCGCTCCAACCTTGAGCGCCATCTTGACTGTTCCCTTGTCCGCTGCTTCATCCCTCTCTCCCTTCTCTATCTATTTCTTGCGCCTTCTTGGACATCACATACTCTCCCACGATCCTTGGCATTTGATTCATCACATTCTTTTCCATCGGATCATCCGACAGCGTCCATCGGCGGTCCCGAAAGCTTCCACGAGAGTCGTTTGCTGCCTCCTCCACTCCAACTCAACTGAGCCAGCATCTCACTTTTGATTGCTTCCGATCTACGATTTTCTCATTCCACCTCGTTGAACACCTATTCGATCACTTTCGCTTCCTCGTCTCACCAATTCCATCTTCGACCTCGCGCATAGGCTCTTGAGGCCAGCACATCACATCGCCTTTGCTGCGACGGCCTCCTACTACTGCTGTTCATGTTGACCGCCATCTCACCGCGAGCATAATCATCCTCGAGGATTGGATTGGCAACGGATAGAAGCACTTGCCTAGCTTCCTGATCCAAGGCTTTGCCAGCGCCATCATCGTTTAGCCACCACCATCATCGGATCTTACAGCCATTGGCATTGCAGCGTTACAAACGACGAGGGCCATCCTTCCCACTCACCATGTCGTTGCTCTACTTTCCTTTGCTAGCCGCACTGGCTTCTATCGGCCTGCCATCTTCGACAAGCGCTTTCCCGCTCAACTACACGGTCTCACGACAATGCACGCCGCTCAACGTCACGTGGAAGGCCGTTCCAGAAGCGTTTCCTTACACCGTCTGGATCCTCGCCAATCATGGCTTCGTCCAGACCTTCAGAATCAACAGCGACTACCAACCAGGATCTGAGGACATCACTTTCCAATACGTTGTGCCACCACCATCTGCCGGCTTCACCTCCTATACCGTCACCGTCGGCGATTCCAGAGGTAATGGAAACACAACCCAGACACTCGGCATCACCACTCCACCCGAATCTACCTCCAACTGCCCCGCCTACACCGGCAGTGCCGCCTTCACTTACGCTGCCGACGCACCCAACGACTCTATGATCCAATGCGGCGATGTTCGCTTCTACAACATCGGTGACAGAGGTACAAAGCCCTTCACCATCAGTTTTGTTCCCTTAGGCAAGACGCCCGTCTCGATCCGAGTGCCCGACAGTGCTACGCTCAACATCTCCAACTTCCAGTTCCAGTCTCTTGTGCCCTTCGCAGAAGGCACGCAATTTCAGACGGTGCTTGGTGATGCTTCTGGTCCAGGGAGTGGTGGTGCTTCCGAGATCTTCACCGTTGGTCCCTCTACTGATTCACCCTCCTGTCTTGCTTCCGAAGTCCAGCTGCCAGGCAAGCTTCCCATCGCCCTTCCCATCGCCAACAACGTCGCCACCTTCAGCAATCTTGCAGGCGCTATCCCTATCTCTGGTCCACATCCTAGCTCTGGATCTTCTCACCAAACAGGTGCTATTGCAGGAGGCGCCATTGGAGGAGCCATCGCGCTCGGAGTCGCTATTGGCTGCCTCATCGCGTTCCTTCTCTACCGTAGACGACAGAAAGCGAAGCGTGAAATGGCACGCAGCGAAGAAGTCCGCTTCGTTGATCTTGACGGCGATGATGACGAAGACTGGGCAGGAGCTCAGCGAACTCGCAGCTCTAGACGAAATGGTCCTGGCGGTAGTGAAGATGGTCGACGAGTGCAATCGAGCTACACGGTTTCTCCTTTCGTCCACGAGCCTCGACATCACTCTGGCTCGTCGTACGGTGGAAGCGGGACACATGGACAAAGCTTAGAGACGACTTCTCCTATCTCGACCAATCCTAGCTATGGCGACTTGTTGAGTGCAGCTGGCATGTCTTCTTCTGCAGGGGTATCGCCAAGCGACGACTATCCTCCACGTCCAGGCAATCTTTCGGCCTATTCAAGGACGAGTCAGGATCAGTTCGCTTCTCGTGCTACAGGCATTGACCGAGATGGAACAGGGCTGGCAAGTGATACATTGCACGGTGGATCGTCTTCTAGCGTGGGCTTGCATTCGGCACCGGCAGCAGCGAGATCGCCGAGCAAAGCACGAGCGACAGCAGAACAAGCGAGAAGGGATGCACGCGCGCCAAGACGGGTTGTACAGCACTCGGATGGTGGACCATTACCACAACCTTCCAGCGACACGGAGGATGAAGAAGTGGTAGATGAGCTTCCACCAGAATATGGTGGATGGCTGCAGACCAATCCTGCTGGCGCAGCTGCAGGTAGTAATGTGCAACGTGCTCCATCCCATAGCGGGCCATATGGTACGTCTCAGCAATCAATACCGCCAGCGCAATCATATCAGCAAGGCGGCACATCAGAATATGTTCGTGGACCATACTAGACAAATTCAACCCCGGGTCTGGATCAAATGCACTTCTACCATGAAACTCATCCATTTGTCCCTACAGTGCTGACAGTGTCTCGCTTGCTTGCTTTTTGTACCTTATTCACACGGACACTTGCATTTATTTTGCTCCTTTTGCACTCACATCTCTGCCTTGCCGTCAATCTGTTACACTGAAAGGGCCCTCGGGCGTCTGAACGCTGAGATGATTGGTGTAGATTCGTTGCTATGGTGGCAGAGATGTTACATTTAGCAGTACAGCCGTGGTGAGATGCATCGTCTACTGGCGGAAGTCGTAGACCTGTCGAAGCAAAAGGGAAAAAGTGTCGGTTGCTGTCCCTATCACCCCGAATAACGAGTCGCCTACCACGCTAGAATGTCTTCTATGTCGAGGCTGTGTGAACTTACCTTCTTACCGTAGTAAGCAAGCGCAAAAGCCGAAGTGATTGTCAAACCCATTGGCACGGGACCCTTTCGGAACCTAGGAGCAGAGCTGCTTAACAGCAGCGCACTTGCACCAGTAGCAATCTCGTAGCCGTAGTCACCCCCGTTCTTGATCCTGGTGGCAGCCAGAGCGTAGAGAGCACCGACGCCGACGCCTGCGACCAGCGAAATAATAGATCTCGTCTTGGCGAATCCAATGAGACCGCCGACCGAGCAGAGACCTGCCATTGTGAATGCGGGATGTTCGGACATCTTGACTAGCTAGCCTGCCTGGTGGAGGAAGGATGCGACGAGAAGGATTAAAATACAGAGATGGAAGGAAAGCCAAGAGAAAAGGGAAACTGAGATGTAATCGAGCCAGAAAGGTGAAAGTGAGCTTAGAGCGCGGACCGTGGAGGTTTTTGGCTGAGATCGTGGACGGGCCAAGCAGATCGGGTCAGCCGCATATTGAGATTGCGTGAGAAATGGAATCTTAACAGAAGTGAGCTCTAGTGAAAACGTGGAGAACTCTTCTCTTGAACTGGAAGAAAAAGGACTTCAAGGCATGGGAGGCCAGGCGGGGTTCTGCATTGCTCTTTCCTTGCCAAAAGTCACAAGGCCAGACCAGCCAAACACCATTCAAGTTGCCAATCTAGACTTCAGCTAGACTTGGACATGTTGAAGTTTGGGTCCTGATAACTGGTGATTGGGGAGAGTCTAAGTATGATGTCACTGCTGCTAAAAGACAGAAACATATATACTTGATTGACTGAGAGTGTGTGGTGAGAACCTAATGTTCTCAGCCTGATATATATACATTTGTGAGGCACATGCCAGATGTGGGAGTTGCTGTACCTAATGATCCAGCCTGACAACAAGTGGGACCTGGTTGTACCTGATCTCTAGTGAAATCAGTTTATCCTTGATCTCTGATCAGATAGGTCCTCTGACTGGATTGGCCCTGTCTGATCTCTGATCAGATCGGCTCTGCGTCATCCTTTAACATCTCACTGGATCGTAATCTCCAGCAGGACACACTCTCTCTAGCCTGTGTGCTGTGTCATGGGACCAGATGAATGTGCAGGAAGGACTGGATTCATATGAAGAGACCATGTGCAACAATCATGGATTGGGCAAAAGGAGAGTTCTGACAGAGTTCAGTGAGATTGGCAGGACCAACAGCTCTATAACAGAACTCATTGAGATTGGTAAGAACAAGTCTGCTACTACAGAGTTCAGTGGGAACAGTAGTACCATGCTTGTACAACAGACCTCATGGGAATTGGTTCAAAGATACCTCTATTGCTGATGCCACAAGAGGAGGACAATGAACAAGGGAGAGGTTGCCACTGGATGAGGTAGGGGCCTTGCACAACAATGAAATTGGTGCAAGAAGATGGGTGATGGCATCAGGAGGTAGATGAAAGGGGGTGCACTGCCACTAGAATGGAGTGGGGTGACCCCTGTCAATGATGAAGTGACAGTTGGCACTCCTTGACCATGAAGGAATGGGAGGAGCAGTGCTTGACAAAGAGGGTACTCTCTGGAGAGACAGCTGGAGCAGAGTTGCAGGCAACACTGCAAAGATGTTATATAACCATACCTTCTTGTCATAGTAGCCAAGTGGGTCTCCATCCACTCTGCACCTTATATTACTAGCTATAACTTCACATCAAGTATATTTAGTATTCCATCAAACAGTTGCAATTGCAGAGGCAAATGGAGCTGTTGTAGTGCAAGTGTTGTATCACCGTGTAAGCGGTCGCACGCCTGAAACCAGGTTGGGTGTTTCCAATTGGTTTTGGTGAGATCAATTGAGTAAGATCTACTTGGTATGTTCTGACTGAAAGTAATCAGATGACTTTGTTCTGGTAGGTCTTGGCTGACCACCTTGAACACTCCATTCAGAGGTTGCACAGCACATCCATTATTCCCTGGAGAGAGAGTAATACACTCTCCTATACAGTACAAGTGTTCATAGTACTGTTGCTAATGCTCTTAACATCATCTGGGCCATGATATGCCTATTGCCTACAGAGGACAGGAGTTACTGGACCACTGGTGTTGGACACTGCCTACAATAACTGACTGGACTGCAGATGTTGAGCAACACTGCCTACAGTGATGAACTGGACCACAGGTGTTGAGGAACACCACCTACAGTTGATGTCCAATGGTGATACAACACACACATTTGAGATGTCATTGCAATGCTATGCTATTGCAATGATATGAGTCAAGTAAAGAATAGTAAGATAAAGAGTAGAGTGGATGAGGATCCACTTGTATGTTATGGTGAATTGGGAGTATTTATGTGTTTGCTCAATGTTGCCTGCAACACCTCTCCTGCTCCTTCTGAGGAGGGTTTTGTAAGCGGTCGCGCGCCAGAGACTAGCTGGGGTTGATTGAGTAAGGACTACTCGATATGATTTGCCTAAACGTAACCAAGCGTTGTTGCCTAGTAAGTCTCGACTGACCGCCTTGAACACTCCATTCAGAGGTTGTGTGGCACAGATGTTGTTTGTTGGTGAGTGAGTGATACACCCTCCCCTACAGTACAAGTGTTTGTAGTACTGTTGATAATGCTCTTGGACATTGTCTGGACCGCGATATGCCAATCGCCTACAGAGGACATGAGTTACTGGACCGCTGGTGTGAAACACTGCCTACAATAACTGACTGGACTGCTGGTGTCGAGCAACACTGCCTACAGCAAGGAACTGGACTGCAGGTGTTGAAGAACACTGCCTACAGTAATGAACTGGACCGCTAGTGTGAAGAACACTGCCTACAGTTGTCGACTAACGGTGATACAACACACACGTTGAGAGTCATTGCAAGAGCACTGCTATTGCATTGATACATAACTGAGTAAGTATAGAGTAGTAAGTTGAGTTTCAGAGTGGATGCCAGTCCACTCGAATGCTATGGTAGAAAGAGAGTATTTATATGTTCGATCAGTGTTTTCCCTTGACACCTATCCTGCTCCTCTTGAGGGGCCTTTGTCCCCTGTTAGGCACTGCCTTGCCCTGCTGGCATCATCCCCTTTGATACTGCGCTCCTACCGTTTTGCTCAGCATAAGGGTTATGCAACACTGCCCTCTCGCCTTCATGCTCTCCTTCTGTCTGATGTGTGATGCCCCCTTTCAGCATGGCCCCCTTTTGACTTAATCTTGTGAATCCCCTTTTGAACCTCATGACCATACCCCCTGGTCATGTGGTCACGTCAGCTCAGTTCTGTCTCAACTTGTTTGAATCGGCTGACTAGTTGAAGCGTGCTGATTCAACTGACTCTGACATCAGCACAGCTCTGAATACTTGTTCAGATCGGCCAACTAGTTGGAGCGTGCTGATCTGACTGACTCCGTCGTTGGCACAGCTCCGAATACTTGCTCAGATCGGCCAACTAGTTGAAGCATGCTGATCTGACTGACTCTGACATTGGCACAGCTCCGAATACCTGTTCAGATCGGCTGATTAGTTGAGGCATGCTGATCCAACTGCCTCCATCATCAGCATAGCTCCAAGTACTTGTTCGGATCAGCTGACTTGTTGAAGCATACTGGTCTGGCTGACTCCGACTGATCCCATGAGATCGATCTGGATTCCCGGGGTTTGATCGATCTCATAAATCATGTGCACTGCCAACCTGATTAATCTCATTGATCCCCGATGGTTGTCGACTCTGATCAATCTGGCACACCCTTCATATGTTGATCTTCTGTGCACCCTTCATATACTGCTCCGTTATGCAACATTATCATAACTGCCGCTGATCATTTGGCGCACTCTCTTGCGCAGGCCAGCCGTCCCTGTGACATTTGCCTCCTCCTGACACTACTTCTGTACTGTGTGCTGACCCCATCGGTGCCACTACTCTACTGCCCAGACAGGGTGTTGGTTTGAGCGACACCCCCTCTTGCCTCCATGCTCCTCGTCACCTGTCAATATGTGTTGATCTCTTTGACACTGCTCTTCTTCCTTATGGTTGATCCCTGGTCTTCTCAATACAGTTCCCCCTCTCTAACCAGTGACCATCTTCCCCCTCTTATCTTGTGAATCCCTTGGTCACATGCTGGACCTTATTGCCATGCTTCCTGATCACATGGTTGCCCCTGTGGCTGGCCCTCTGTGATGGTACACACATCCCTCCTGAGTGGTAACCATCTGCATGATACTGAGCTTGGTCCCCTTCCTCAATTGTTTCCTGCATGCTTCCCTTGTCTTCCCTGCCAGGGAAACTCCTTCTCTGATCCTCCCATTGTTTCAACATGATGAGCTACCTGTTCTACACTGATGGTGCTTTGTTGGTGCATGCTTTGGTGAAGCATACTGGGTAGGCTTGTTCTGATCAATCCTAGTGAGATTACTCAAAACCCCAGTTCTTAGTTGACTCTGCAATTCATATATGCCACTATCCCAATCAGATTGTTGACACCTGATGCTTGCTTCAGATCATTCTGCACACACTTCCTGTGCCGACCCTGTGACACACCGCTTCTTGACATCATCCGAAGGCAGTACTATGCGGTCCGAGGATCAATCAATCACTCAATTGACACACTGGACACTTGTGTCAAAGCAAACACAATCACACCAGACCTTGGTGTCATCTCAAGATAAACTATTGGACATTGATTGTGCTGAGCTACCTCTGGACAGAGTGTCCCCAGCGGTCAGTCAAAATCCGTGGTAACCGTTAGTGACAATCTATTTGAGCGAGAACAGTCATAGGTGTCAGGGGTCTCGCGCCTGAAACCTGATATCTGTAGTAAAACTGCTTCTATTACAGATCCTGTCAAGTTATGTGATAAAGTCTCATGTATTATTATTTGATCAAGATCTGTTGTAGAAGGCCTCTATGACTTTTCTTGCTCTAATATGTGATAGTTGGTTTGCTATTGCATGTTTTGACTGACTGCTGTGGACACTCCGTCCAGAGGTAGCTTGGCATGATCAATAATGATGGACGTAATACGATGACACCAAGATCTGTGTCATAGGAGCCGAATGCGCAGGAGGAAAAAAGAGGAAGTTGAAGTCATATGAAGGAGCACAGGAATCGTGGTATTGGGCAACATGGGAGCTTAAGGGAGAATTTGCCAAGATCAGTAGGAGAAATGAGTCTATGGCATGATTCACTGAGATCAGTAGGAGAAACAAGCCTATGACATAGTTCATCAGGATCAGTAGGAGAGTCATTCCTATAGCATAACTTGCTGGGATCAGTAGGAGCAAAGCTGTTACCACAGAGTTCGGTGGGGATTGCAATA